TGCTTGTGAGTGCCGAGAACTGTTTGTTGCAAGGAAAGGGGGCTTTTGGAAACCTGGTGTGAGGCTAGAAGCGATAAGAATCACTAAGTGGAGTTCTTAGTGGATTGTGTGTCTGTGCCGTCTCTAGGGAAAGTCTGTTCTTCATCTCTTGTGGATTTCAAGAGAGGTGTTGTCTTTACTTTATCTCTTTGATTTGTAATCTGTTTATAACAATTTGTTCTTAGTGACGGCGTTAATCCTCTTTTGAGTGATTAGCAATCTGGACGTAGGGTCTTTTGATCCGAACCGAGTATAAACCTACTCGTGTAATCTTCTCTACTCTTCTCTATTTACATTTACGCAGTTTTTAATCGGTAAAATTTGGGGAAAATTTTGAAAACCTAATTTTTATTAAGAAACCAATTCACCCCCTCTTGGTTTTTGTCCGACCACGCGAACATTCACTTGCGCGATTCTAACATAACTCAATATTATTCTATTTCTCTACTTGGCAACTTATTTTGTTTTGTTTTTATAAAATTATTTTATTTTATTTTTATATCAAATTAAATAATTTAATTAAGTTAAATAAAAAATATGTTTATATTATTTTTATTTTAAAAAAAGGACATTGTAATTGTAATTAATGTAAACTTAACCAATTTTGATTTTAGTTATTTAAAAATATTTTATATAATATTTATTTTGTAAGAAGACAAATTTTTGCTTTGATATGATATTGTTAATTGTTTTACTAGATGATATTTTAAATTATATTGACTAATTTTTATTGTATATTGCTAATAAATGACACCTCCAACATATTTTAACAATTGAAATAATAAGAATATAATATAATTTATATGATATTGTTAATTGTTTTACTAGATGATATTTTAAATTATATTGACTAATCTTTATTGTATATTGCTAATAAATGACACCTCCAATATATTTTAACAATTGAAATAATTAGAATATTTTAATAAACACGTTAAAGCATTTGGAGTGTAACGTGAATGTAAATAGATTCATGTGTTTCTTATCTTCTTTTTTTAAATATATTTTATAAAATGAATTTTATAATATCTCTCTAGAAAGTTCTTGAAAATGTTAATTTAAAATACTTCTAAAAAACTAATTTTGAACCATTTTTGAATAATTTGAATCTGGTCATAACTTTTTAAGATTATGTTTGGATAATTTAAGTGTGAATCTAAGTCTCACATTGAATAAAAATGAAAAAGTTGAACAACATATAAGGAAAAAAGACTCATGACTCAATGTCTTAAGGTTTTTGGTTAAAAGTAATGTCAATTCCTAATATGGGTTGAACTCTTGTCTCATTGATATTATTTCTTCCCAGTAAATCCTCCTTGAAAGGCCCAACAAGTGATATAGTATAAGAGTCAATAGTTTGTGTGGTAACGGACAATTTAAAAGTAGTATTTGTATTGAAAGTCTTTTTGACAATGGATTAAGTAAGTGTGTCTTATTATGATGAACGACGGTATATCGAAAGGCTACAAGTGAGCTCGAGGGGTTGAGAGTGGTGTCAATCCCTTATATGAGTTGAACTTTTATGTCATTGGTGTTGTTTCTCCCCAGTAAATCCCCTCTTGAAAGACTCAACAAGTGATATGGTATAAGAGTCGATGGTTTGTATAGTAACGAACAGTTTAAAAGTAGTCTTTGTATCGAAAGTCTTTTTGACAATGAGTCAGGTAAGTGTGTCCTACTATGATGAACGACGGTTATATGGAAGGACTATAAGTAAACTCGAGGGGTTGAGAGTGATATCAATCTCTATGTGGGTTTGATTTATGTTTTATTGGTGTTGTTTCTCCCTAGTAAATCCCCTCTCGAAAGACTCAATAATGTCATCTTAAGGTGTTGTTAGATTGAAGGATCTTATTAACGTCCATAAATAAGATTAAATTGTCAAATCTAAAAAATAGAAGTGTTATCATATAACTTTGTATAAACTAAGTTCACAAGTTGGAGATAAGCGGACTCGAACTGACATCCGCCATAAAACATTGTATTTTAGGACCAACTGAATCTACCATAGAGGCTAACTATAAACAATAATTCCTTTCGAAAGCAACTCACAACTTTCATCGTATTGTGCTCTCCAAAGAGCAACTCATATCAAAATATCAAAAGATGTTGAGTTGAAATCTCATTCTAACTAAGGATCAGTTACAGAAGAATCAAGAAGAGAAAACTTCCCCAATCCTCATTTTTTACGTCCAAGACTTTTTGATCAATTGCTGAGGGGGAGATTGTTGCAGGTAACATCAATTATCCCGGAGGCCGAGTAAGCCGAGTCACAATCAAATCGTGGTACTAGCGTTGTTACTCTTAAGTAAAAAGAGTTGCGTGCTGACTAATAATTATAGTTTTTTGTCAAGTGATAAGCGTTCGGTCCTAATATTAAGAATACTAGTTTTAATGATTGATTGCCCTTCTCCAACCCTTATTGTCCAACTTGAGAACGAAAAGCTAATGCATTCCATTTTGCTTTTTGAGCAAGGTTCTATGTAACTTTATTGCATTAGAAAAAATGATTTTAATCTTTCATTAGATTCTCTTGAAAAATGGAACAATCATATTTGTTGAAATAAAAGAAACATATTTATTCTAGTAACAATATGCAATGGTGGATAGTTGAGGGAGGTTGACAACTTTATATATGAATATTTAAATAATATATGCATGCATATTCACTTTTCACTCCGATGACCCCTTCGTAACATCTTTACTTAATCTAGTATTTATATATATATATATATATATATATATATATATATATATATATAAGTAACATTAATAGAAAAAAAAGTAAATAATTTTTAACATGATATACTAATTCTTACATTTTCACACTAAAGTGAGACATGTGACTTTATTATTTATTCATTGATGTTCCAAGAGTACCCTTTCGATGTCTTAGGAAAGAAGATGCATATTGGGTTGATATATGATACGACTTGTTAAATATAGTAGGTGATATGAAATTTACTCATTTTTCTCTCCACGAAGATATCCCTCTTTCCCCCTCAAAAGAGAATGATTAAATAAGAATCATATCAAAAAAATTGGGAGTGTGAAGTGTAATGAAGTACAATTCTATCAATTTTTTTTATTTTTAAAGAAAATCTCTAGATTATTACTCTAAATTATAAATAATTTATGATTGGCTTAAATGGACCAATAAAATAAAGTACCTAGACTCTTTTTAGAAAATAAAATAAAATTAGTAATACATTTAAAATCAATTTGTGTCATATTTATATATTCCATTTTACATTCGAGAGAAAATGAAGAAGTTTTAACAAAAAGACATAGTATTTGAATATTTGTTCTATATGTACAAACTCAAATTGGACATATCTTTACTCAGAGTAGAAAAGAAACCTAAAAGAATTGAAAGAGTCCATTCAAGAACAAGAAAATTACTTTGTGATTGAACTTCAATCTCAATAAAAATAAGACATCAATGAGAATATAGTTCAATAGATTTAGTATATTTTTCCTTTTTTTTAGTTTGAAGAAGATCATTTGAAAAAGAAAAAGATTAAAATTGACACAATTTCTTATTTGTTTATTTAATTTTTGGTTAACTATATGCATCAAAAGGTGCATGTACGACTTTTAAAGAAAAAAAAAATAATAACCTAATCAATCAATTTTATTAAGAAAGATTACTTTTTTTTAAGTTAAGATGTTGATAGAGAAATATCGAATCAACTTATTAGTCTTATGATATATTTAAGCATAAAGAAAGAGAACAAAGATTTGTATTTATTTATAAATTGTCCGTGGTGGGTAATACCTAAAATAACTATTTATGATACTATACCATTTATATAACTAGATGTACAAATAATATATATGAAATTAACCTCTTCAATGTGATTCTTAAGAGGTACACTTACCAAGCTTCTTGCATTCCCTCACACTTGATGACAACTATTCTTTTCTTTGATAATATATATATATATATATATATATATATATATATATATATATATATATATAAAAAAGTAAAAATAGCATGATATTTTGAATTTCATATACAATTTTTTTAATCATTCAATTATATATAGAAAGAGTAATAGGAAAAAGAGATTATTTATGATATCGTTTAGGGGGCAAAGTTTAAGGAGATTTTGTGATATATTTAGCAATTATAAAAAGACAATTTTTTTTAATATAAATATTTGTGCAACTATTTTACTTAAGAAGCAATTGCCTTAAATATATATTATGAATAAAATCATTATAAGATATTTTTAGATTTCCACGAATTACCGCATTTAGTAGACTAATTCATAAAATGTGAAAATCTTATTTTTTTTTCTTATCTATGTCATAATCATTTAAAACCAAAACTTTTTTTTTTATTGAGTAATAATTTAAGTAAGCCTTGAACGAGGTATACGAAAATTTTGCATTAATAAACGGATTTCCGTCCTTTATATACGAATTATGTGTCTTGTAAATCTAAAAGTTAAATCATAAAAATTATTCATGAATTTAACTTTTTTTAAAAAAATTGAATTAATTTTTTTCAGAAAGGTAAAATTATATATTAAAATTCATAATTCCAAACTTAAAAAAATTATATATATATTTTTTTAGATTTTTCAACCTAAAATACTCCAAAATATGCGTTTGGAATATTAGTTTCATGTATTAGTAAGAGTATTATATTTTTTTAAATAAATATGAAGGTGTAGAGAGAAAGAATGTTCTAATGTTTTTAACTCCTTTGAACTAAAATCCCCCAAAATACTAAAAACACATTTTATGCTTTTAATATTTCCCAAGTATTAAATACATTTTAATTTTTCATTCAATAAAAAATTGGTATTAAACACATTGAATGCTTTTAATGTTTCCAAAACATTAACTCCATTGTAATTTTTCAACCAATAATAATGTGTTCGGGGATACAGCGTTACTCTTGCAAAGTCCGTATATTATATTTACACAATCTAGAAAAAATGCATGTGTTATACCCACATCCTCTTGCAAGTAAAATCATATACAAGCTGAAATAGGCTTCTAGAATCTGTCTCCTCCTTCACCTTTAGAAGGCGAGCAACTTTCGAAAAACCATCATGATATCTAGACATAATATCTTCTTCTTTCATATCCAATATACACTCATGTTGAGTGTGCTTTGTTCTTGATAATTCCCATTGCATTGCCCATATGGCTAAAGGACGCATGTAACATAAAGATCTATATTCATCTTTACTGGTCCACGCTTCGGGAGTTTGGAATGAATAACTGTGGATCAAGTAGAAGAATCTTAATTAGCGATTACTAAGAATAAAAATACATGAAAGGATGCATATCTATAAAGTATTAAAGATCCACATGAACTAGCCAATCTTATACATTGGCATACGTTAATCAGTAATTCAAAACAGCAACGCAAAGGTTTCCATCATGCCTCAATATGAAAACAGGAGTAGCTTTATTCAAGTTATAGTTGGTCATATCAACCACCAAAACACTCAAATAAGATGTGATCAATGATCGTAATGGCCAATGTTTCATGGCTATTAACAGGTACAATTATAAATGTTAGTGAGTTTGACATTTTTCTCAAGAGTAATGTTATACCCTCTTACAAATCCTTTATAAATCTTCCTAATACTTTATGAAAAAAAAGCACTAAATGAAAAATAAATGCGTGTTATGTCTTGAAAAGTTTAAGATCATCCAAGAAGGATGATTCGCAAGATTCATAGGAGGATTAAAATTGTTCGTTTCAACTGAACTGGAAGATGAAATAGAAATCATGGAAATTACCAGAAAAAAAACACCTAAAGTGGATTGAGAAGGAAAGGAAAGAGAAACAATGTAAAAAGGTATTTGATTAACAAGCTTTCAAAATGTTTGTTAAAGATATTTCTCATTGTATACATTATCAACTCCAACAACTATTAGGGGGTGTGACATCCTCAGGATGAAGAGGTATGATGAAAAATCTTCCTCGAGGTGAATAGGTGTGATGAAATCTCACATCGATTAGAGATACGATCACAATATAGTATATAAGTGAGTACAATTATCTTTTTACTGAATTGATTTTGTAAGGTTAAGTTAAATATTTCACAATTTCTAAGAAAAACATAATTTTTTATTCTAAGCCATGATCTGTTGATGCCCTTTTATGAGCTTGTATGGTAGCCATATTAAAAGCATACCATATCTGTTGTATTTTCCCATCTCATACAATCTTGGCTTTCACAAAAGGGAATAGAAATTCTACTAACCTCAACAACCAATTCATAATGGTGTAGTACTACCAAAAGATCAGGAATATTCTAACTATGGTTGGTACGTAACAAATTACCAACTTATGATCTTTTTGAAAGCAAAAAGGTGTAAAGTAGTTTCTGTTCAGGTCTATTGTTCATCTATCTTTTTGTATGTTCCTTAGACTAGGGTTAAGGGTTTAGACTGAGACCCATATCCTCTCTATTGTATCTCCTTTTTCTATAAATACAATGTAACAATGCCTTTGGTCACTGTATCAAACCCTAAATAAGTTTTCTCAAGTTGGTATCAGAGCGGGTAAGATTTCGCACTGATTTTCAATCACCTCTATCATCTTCGGCCACCATGGGCCGCTGTTCGCCGTTGTCACTGTCGGCTACCATCTCCTTTTGGACCGACGAAGAAGAGGTTTTATGCACCTTGAGAAGCGCGACCCACCATTGCAAGTCGCTCCTCCGTCAACTACCTCACGCGCCATCACCTGAGACCATCTCAGAGAGTCTTCTCAGGCGCATGTGCCTCATGCACCGCCTTCCAATGGCTAAAATCAAGGCCGACCACCTCCGTTCGACTCACCGACGTCCTCCAGGTCCAGCGGTGCCCTTAGTTTTCTGTTTTGAGAATTGTGTGAAAGGTCTCATGGGTACCCATATTCGTTGGTTTTATTTGTCTTCTCTGATTCAGATGGTTTCATTCACTGCCTTCACCTTCTCTGCTACTTCCACTATAACCAATGCTAGGCTCAACTGGAAAAATTACTTATCCTAATCTACATCAGTTGAGTTGTAGTTTCTTGGTCAGGGGCATCACAATCATTTGGAGAAGGATGTAGACTCTATTTCCACTACAAAAAGGTCTCAGTGGGAGAAAATAGACTTCCAACTTTGTGCAATCTTATGACAGTCTATGAAATCAGAAGTTCTTGAGTTTCTCAGGTCATTCAAAACCTGTTCTTTTTGGAAAAAGGCTCAAGACATTTTTGCTAATGATATTCAACGTCTCTTTGATGCAACTCAACGAGTGACGTCACTCAAACAAGCCAATCATGACATGATGACTCACATTGCAAAAGCTAGGGCTGTTGTAGAAGAATTAAAAAGGTTCTTGTAGCAAATACCTAAGAGGATGTACACTCCAAACTCAATAAGCTATATATGGTTCTAATTTTGAGGAGTTTGCATTCTGATTTTGATCATGCGCGTGATCAAATCCTTGCTAGCGATTAGGTTTCGTCATTGGATAATCTTGTCACTAGGTTGATTCGTGTTCCTAATCTTATGGTAGATGAGAACCAGGTGAAGACTGTTGAAACTTCTGTTATGGTTGCTCCTCGTGGTCGACGGAAAGGACACAATAGTTCATTCTCAATGCTCTTATTGTAAGAGTATGGGGCACACGCAGGAAAATTGTTATTCGTTGCACGGTTTTCCTGACAAGATTGCTCATGCATCTAAATCTGAGAAGCTAGATATGAAGATTTCTGATGAGGAGTATCATTAATTTTTTATGTTCAAATCTAAAAAGTTTAGCAGTTAGGGTTAATCTTCTTCAATGCCAATTGTTTCAATTGCATGTATTTCTCCATCTATGGAAGGTCAGAACCCACTGATTCTTGATTCAGGTGCCTCTGATCATATATTTGGTAATAGTTTCTTGTTTTCCTTCATGTCCTGTCCTAAAATTCCTCACTTAATCATTGTAGTTAATGGATCCAAAGTGAAATTTCAAAGAGTTGGCCAAATTCTTTTAACTCCATCTCTAAATTTAAATTCTGTTATTTTCATTCCTAATTGCCTTTATAACTTGATCTCTCTAAGTCAATTGACTCGTTATTTGAATTGTTCTGTAACCTTTATTTTCAATTTTTTTGTTATTCGGGAACATGGTACGAGTCGTATGATTGAAGAAGGACATGAATTATGTGGTCTGTACTATCTAAATCCAAGTCTTTTGGTGTCTTGTCTGGTTTCTCCTGTCCCTAAACTTTTGCATGATCGTCTGGGCCACCCAAGTCTATCTAAGTTGAAAGTGATGACTTCTAATCTTCAACATCTTCGAGTTTTAGAGTGTAAATCTTGTCAATTAGGAAAACATGTTAAGTCTATTTTTCCTAAATAGTTTGAAACTCGATGTAATTTTCCTTTTTCAAATATTCATTATGATGTTTGAGGACCGAGTCCTGTTTCCTCTTTTGGCTTTCGATATTTTGTGACCTTTATTGATGAATTTTCTCGATGTGTTTGGGTTTATTTAATGAAAGACAGATATGAACTTTTATCCATTTTTGTGTCCTTTTCCAATGAAATTAAAAATCAATTTGGGAAGATAATTAAAATTCTCAGAAGTAATAATGTCAAAAAATATTTTTCTGTCTCCTCTTCTTTTTTATCTTCCTAAAGAATTTTACATCAATCAACTTGTCCTCCACCTCACGGCAAAAATGACATTGCAAAAAGGAAAAATAAACACCTTATTGAGACTCCACGCTCTCTAATGTTGAATGCTAATGTCCCTGTTCATCATGGAGATATGCAATTCTCATTGCTTGTGTTTTTATTAAGTCGGATGTCATCTTCCTCTCTTAAAAATCAAATCCCACATTCTCTTATCTTCCCAGATGATCTTCTTTACCATGTATTTCCTCGTGTATTTGGTTATACCTGTTTTGTTCATAATGTATCTCTAGGTCTTAATAAACTAAGTGCTAAGGCCATTAAAGGTGTTTTCTTGGGGTACTCAGAAAGGGTATGAATATTATTCTCCATCCTCCAAAAGGTATTATATGTGTGCTGATGTCACTTTCTTTGAGGAAACACCCTTCTTTTCTTCTCCCATGGAAGATAGTTCATCCATTCAACAAGTTCTGCCTATACCTTCACGTGATCCACTTGTAATACATGATCCTTTCCCAATTCAGTCTACACATCATAATGATACTGCTCCTCTTCTCACAAATCACCGCAAGACCCTTCCTATACCTTTACCAATTTCTACAGATAATCGTGATTCAAATTCGTCTCCATCAGCTTCTCATACCATGGATCCTTCAATCTTATCTCCAACTTTTGATTCTGGCTGGCATATTGCACTTAGAAAAGGTACTCATTCCATGCGGAAGCCCTTTCCTATTTATAGTTTTTTAAGTTACCATCATCTGTCTCTTTCATATGCTTATTTTGTTGTCTCTTTGGCTGATACTTCTATTTCTAATAATGTTCATGAGGCACTTGATCATCCTGGATGGCGACAAACCATGATTGATGAAATGTAGACCCTTAAGCACAATGGCACTTGGGAGCTTGTCCCTCTTCCTCTTAGCAAAAAGGCTGTGGGTTGTAGATGAGTGTATGCAGTTAAAGTTGATAATAATGGTAAAGTAGATCGCCTCAAAACTCGTTTAGTAGCTAAAGGTTTCACCCAAATTTATGGCCTTGATTACTATGATACCTTCTCTCTAGTAATTAAGATTTCCACTATTCGTCTTTTCCTTGCTATGCCTACTATTCGTCATTGGCCCCTTCACCAATTGGACATTAAAAATGCATTTCTTCATGATGATCTTGAGGAAGAGATTTATATAGAGCAACCTCCTAGCTTTGTTGCTCAGGGGGAGTCTAGTTTAGTGTGTAAGTTACACCGGTCTCTTTATGGCTTGAAGCAGTCACCCTGATTTTGATTTGGGAAATTCAGTCATGTTGTGCAGTTGTTTGGCTTGAAAAGAAGTGAAGCAGACCACTCAGCGTTTTATTGTCATTCTTCTTCAGGCAAGTGTGTGTATCTTATGGTTTATGTTGATGATATTGTTATTACAAGCAATGATTATACTAAGATCAGCCAACTGAAGAATCATCTGTTTACTCACTTTTAAACCAAAGATCTTGGTCAATTGAAGTGTTTTCTCGGTATTGAAGTGACCCAGTCAAAGGAAGGTGTGATCATTTCTCAAAGGAAGTATGCTCTTGATATTTTGAAGGAGACTGGTCTAACAAATTGTAAGCCCATTGATACCCCAATGGACTCTAACCAAAAATTGATGAAGGATGAAGGAGAAAAGTTATCAAATTCAGAAAAATATAGGAGATTGGTTGGTAAACTCATTTCTCTTACTATTACCAGACCGGATCTTTCTTATGTAATCAGAGTAGTCAGCCAATTCACTTGGATACCTTGATTCGCATTCTAAAATATGTTAAAGGGGCTCTAGGACAAGGATTGTTATATGAAGATAAAGGTAATACTCAAATTTTGGGTTATTGTGATGCAGATTCGACTGGTTGTCCCATTGATAGAAGATCTACTACTGGGTATTGTATCTTTATTGGAGGAAATTTGATTTCTTGGAAGAGTAAAAAACAAAGTGTTGTTGCTCGATCTAGTGCAGAAGCTAAGTATAGATCTATAGCACTTGCTATATGTGAACGTGCGTGGATCAAACAACTTCTTCAAGATTTAAAATTCTGTAATAGTGGGCAGATGAAGTTGTTTTGAGATAATCAGACAGCTTTCCATATTGCCTCCAACCCAGTGTTTCATGAAAGAACAAAGCATATTGAGATTGATTGTCATTTTGTTAGAGAGAAGTTGTTGTCTAAGGAACTTGTAATTGAATTTGTAAGCTCCAACGAGCAACTGTCTGATATTTTAACTAAATCCTTAAGAGGACCTAAGATTCAATTCATTTGTTTCAAGCTTGGTGCGTACAATCTATATGCTCTAGCTTGAGGGGGAGTGTTGAAATTTGTTGTTCATCTATTTTTTTGTATTCTTTTTGTATGTTCCTTAGACTAGGGTTAAGGGTTTGGGTTGAGGCCCAAATCCTCTCTATTGTATCTCCTTTTTCTATAAATACAATGTAACAGTGCCTTTGGTCACTGTATCAAATCCTAAATAAGTTTTCTCAAGTGTTTCCATGTGTAGTCAATCAATCTCTTTGTTGTATTTGGACATCCTAGGAAATTTGTCAAGGTTATTTAGGTCAGAAGACCTCCAATCAATAATAAGTGAAAGAACTGTCTTGAGCAAGCATGTGTATTTTTAGGGTTTCACATTTTTAGAAGTGGAAATACTTCTGCTGATAAACTTGTTGCATATGAATTTCTCTTCAGGATTTAGTTTGGTGGGATGATATTCCATCTTTTGTTAGGCAAGACAATTTTGGAGATCATATTGGCCTATAGAACTATTGAATTTCTAAAGTTTTAGTGGGTTTTGGTTGCTGAACCCACTCTCTTTTGTTTGATTTATTTCCTTAATGATACTTTTGTCTGCTGCAAATATAGGCTGAGGTGCCAACCTGGTTGGGATTGCAGTCTTGTATAGGAATTCCTTTGCACACCTACTTTCATTGGAAAAAAGTGTGAAAATTCATGGGAAAACCTTTATTGACTATGAGGAGCAGTTCACAGAATTCCACCTTGGGGACAAGGTTTTTCTTGATGGGAAAGGATATGATACGGCCAGAACAAGAGGCCCACAATTAAGTATGTGTATAAGGAGGGGGAGATACATGTGCAATAATCAAGACCTTAGAGGGAGATATGAAAACTGTTCCGCTAGCAGCGTTCGGAATGCATTCGACGCAAGTTAGTTTGAAAAGGAAGTGATAATAGAGGGGAATAAGGAGTGAGGTGGGGGAGGTGTGAACTGGAATCTGGATCCTTGGGAGATACCAGGCTCTAGAATGACTAGGGTTCTACATTTCTATAATTTTCTTGTACTATTGGTACACCCATCATATCATACGTCTCATTTTTTGTGTGTTGATCTCTGCTGGTACCTAACAAGATGCGACTTGATTTAGATATAAACTTCAGTGTAACTTTTCACAAGTACCACTAAGAGAACAGTATACAATATCTTTACCCGAGTCCATTGTTGGACCATGCAGTTTCATATACTCCACCAGCAGTTTGAAATGCCATGTCAATCATATTTTCTTGGATCATTGTTGCAGCTAAGGCATATGTGACCCCTGACCATATTTCCCGAGATTGCATTGTTGACATGTCAATTTTTCCATCAGGTAACATCCCATTTACAGCACCACGCCTCCCATCCAGTACTTTCATGACATTGTAATCATAAACCATTTTAAGTGCACTTCTACTTTTCTTTTCTTCAACAATTGGAAAAAGACCAGATGCTCTAGCATACCTACAAAGCAAGAAATAAACAGTTTGAATTCCATTTTAATATCAGCAAGAGGAATCTACAAGTGCAACATAATTGAGGATAACTGCAAAATTTAAATTGTATAGAGCACTATGACATTGTTCAGATGCTTGCATTTGCTTTTTATAAAGTTTAGTTTCAGAAACTATGCTTGCATGTGACAACTGGCAACAGCCAAAGTCTTTTCCCACCAAGTGGGGTTGGCAACATAGACTAAATGCCGCCATTGTGCAGTTTCAAATATTTAATTTTTTTAGGGAGACCAATTAGATATGGATCCTTTTCAATGATTTCCCTCCAATTTTTACTTGTTCTTCCTCTTCCTTTAAATCCACTCTTCTAATAGGCTTGTTGGCTTTATTTAATCAACACTCCAAGGATTTAATAGGTAAGTTTGTGTCATATAAAGTGGGTGCATAGCTCTTTCTTTAAATTAGATGAAACTTTAAGGATCCTTAAAGAAATAATGTTGGCTTCTACACCCACTTTATATGACACAAACTTGAAGTGATTCTAGTGACCCATTAAGCTAGATGTCACACAACGACAATGCATGCAAAAGTTTAGTAATTTACTTGGTTTCTAATTCAAGTTTTAATAGACCACTGCACCATAAAGATACTTGGAAGTGCTACTAATATAAATAAGGCTAGCAAATAGTTTCCAAAAGACAAAATACTAACCATTGACCAGCTAATTGATCAGCTTGAATAGATGAACTTGAACTTCCACTACTGCTATCATAATTGAAGTAAGAACCATTCCATAACTTTTCATATACAGCCTTTGCCTTTTGAAACTTCAGCCAAAAGTAATCTTCAGAACCCTTGTCACCAACTTCACGTGCCAGTGCTGATGCTGCCTGAAGTGCTGCTACCCACAGTCCACCACTGTATGCACTCACACCAGACACAGACCACGTGTCATAAGTTTGATCAGGGAAACCTTCATTCTCAATCATTCCATCACCGTCCTTGTCAAATTGGTCCATATAAGCAATTGCAATATAAACAGCGGGCCAAACAGCTTGTGCAAACTTCTTGTCGCCAGTGACAACTACATCTCTATAAATCTGAAGAACAAATTTTGGATTCAAGTCTTTCCACCTATCTGTGTTATAAAGATTATATCCATTTACTTCAAACCATGGATCATTGAGTCCAATATCATGAGGAACAGCACCAAGAACCTTTCTCGGTGCCCATTGGCCATCACACAGAAGTTTCATCTTACTAGGGTCATGCATCAGCACTGCTGCGGCAAAGTCTCTTTGGATGCTGAGTTCAAGTTTTGGGAATAGCATGACTAGTGAAAAAGAAGAATAAAAATGGACATCGTAGGTATTCCACATTTTATACTCAATGCCTTCAAGATAAAGAAACTGACCAATGTTTTCTTCCCCTTCTTGGAGCAGATTTACTCCATGTGCAGACTTTGATGCAGGTCGAGAGTGTTTTTGCTCAACTACTGAGCTAAACATTTCAAGAATGTTGATAGCAGTATCATTGTGATGTGATAAATTATTGTTATTCTCTAAACGAGATATGAATCCATCCAAGGAAAATTTGTTTTCTCCTGTGTTAACTAAACTAGTCATGGGAAGTGAACCATCTGCAAAAAAGTGAGAAAAAAGAAGAAGAAAAGAACAATGATAAATTGACAACGGTATCACACTTTCATGCATGCAGCGATTGGAGGACTTTGAAAGGAGAAAAGACCACGCTTATTAGCCGGTCAAATAAAAAAGTTTAGGACCAAAAATACCTGTCCAAATTGTTCCCCCAGAATTCAAATAGTAAAGTTCATTCAAAAGCGTTGTTGGGTACCTGCACAGATCTCTGAAAATGTCAGATTTTGATAGTGGGGCAGGTGAGTGAATAAAAAAAATAAGATTACCACTCAGGTAGTCTCTTGTCCTCTAGTATTGGTCTTTGCCAATCATCAATCTGGGTCTCCCATTGGCAATGTTCTACGTAACAAATTCATAGAAGTTTTAATTAAGTCATTTATTGTATTAACAATCACGGATGAGATATGCCTCTGCATGGGATTTTTCAACATATGTAATTTCTTCATCGAAACTACGAAAAATATATCCACAATCTGGTTTTTCAGAAATCTAACTATACATATAATTATGATTGGTATCAAATTTAGATGCTGTTAGATATTGTTAAGATATTGTTAGATACTGTTAGATATTATTAACCACAATATCTTCTGTTTATTTTGTTTACTTTCGGTTACTCTTTTAGTTGTACCTCTCTCTATTATAAATAGATTACTCTATGTGTGGTTTATACACAAGGGAGATTAATCTCAAACCCTATTTCCTCCATATTCAACATGGTATCTAGAGCTTAAGGTTATTTTGAAATTTTTTTTTTGCCTTTGTCCACTACTGGAGCCGCCACCGCTGCCGCTGCTGGTTAAACTGATCTTCCACATCAGAAAATAGTTATTTTTGTTACTAGATATTATTTGGTAGAGTGAAAGTGCATGTCTAGGAAGGTTCTGACAAGAAAAGACTTGGTATTTAAGCGTGTCTATTAGTGACACACCTCTCTTTCCTGGAAACTTACCCTGGTGTACTGGTTCACGCCATTGTCGCTGTCGTTGCTGCCTCCGCCGCCACCGACGGAGCCATCGTCGGAGTTTCATTTTTGACCGGCAACATACAGTTTTGCTCGTCTTGGTCACGCGACCATCGTGCCATTGAGATCACCATTATCGGAGTTGGTCGTTCGTTGTCTTTTGCGCCGTTTAGTCTCAACGGACTTGTTTTGGTCTTCTCGTTTTAGATCTGTGCTTTGTAGGTTGATTGAATTACTTCGGATTTTTTTTAGGTTTTGTTCTCCTGTCCTTCATGACTTCTTCCACTCCTTCTACTACTTTCAATTCTGTTAATGATTTTTCTGCGTTGGCATCTCACCGTGATGATCAGACTCGCCCTCGAAAATAGGGAAAATGGCGTCCTAAGTGTGAACATTGTGGCAAGCTAGGTCACAAGATTAACAAGTGTTATGCATTATATGGTCATCCTCCTCGATCTGCTGCAGTTGTTCAAACCGATCTTTCCCCACCTTTGTCTGCTGGGGATCCTCCCTCTTTTGCATTTGACACATCTACTATGTTCAACAAATTTCTCAAATGGTATAAAGATCAGCAGTCTTCTAGTTCCACTACATCTGTCGCACACACAGGTACATATTTTGCTGGTCTGACCTAATCCTCTTCTCCTGGTCCTTGGATTTTTGATTCAGGAGCCACTGATCATATTACTGGTAACAGACCTTTGTTTTTCTCTTTATTCTTTCCTAATCCTTTACCTTTTCTTACACTGGTTGATGGCTCTAGAGTACCATCTCATGATGTTGGAACTGTTAAACTTTTCCCTTCTTTAACCATTGATAATGTTTTTTATTTCCCTGGGTCTCCTTTTAACCTGTTGTCCATCAGTCGTCTAACTCGTTCTCTTGATTGTGTTGTTTCTTTTACCAACAATTTTGTGTGTTTACAGAACCAGAGTTCGAAACAGGTGATTGACACAGGATGTGAGTCCCATGGTCTTTATCATCTCCGTCCCTCTACACATGTTGGTGCAGTTATGAAGTCTCCCTCTCTTCTTCATGCTCAGTTAGGTCATTTAAGTCTTGCCAAGTTACAGAAATTTGTCCCTGCCTTGTTCAACTTGTCTAGTTTGGCGTGTGATTCGTGTCAATTAGGAAAACATAGTCGTACTTCCTTTTCTCGTAGTGTCACACATGGTGCTTTGTCCCCTTTTGCCGTGGTTCACTCTGACATTTAGGGACCTAGCTGCGTTAAATCTACTTTAGGTTTTCAATACTTTATTACTTTCATTGATGATTATTCCATATGCACTTGGTTATTTTTGATGGAAAATCGTTCTGAATTATTTCATATCTTTCAAACTTTTTTCAATGAAATTCAAACTCAGTTCGGTGTTTCTATTAGAGTTTTGCGCAGTGATAATGACCGTGAATATTTTTCTCAATTTTTTTAAACAATTCATGACTTCTCACGGTATCCTGCATCAAACTTCTTGTGCTTATACACCTCAACAAAATGGTGTAGCTGAACGCAAAAATAGACATCTTATTGAAACAACTCGCACTCTTTTAATTCATGGAGAGGTTCTCAATATTTTTGGGTTATGCTCTTCTTACTGCATGTTATCTCGTTAATCGTATGTCTTTTTCAGTTTTAGATAATAATATACCTCATTCCATTTTATTCCCTCATGAACCTCTTCATTCCTTACCTTTAAGAGTTTTCGGGTCTATATGTTTTGTTCATAATTTAAGTCCTGGTCTTGATAAGTTTTCTCCTAGATCACATAAATGTGTTTTCTTAGGGTTTACAAGATCACAAAAAGGATACAAATGTTTTTCTCCTTCTCTTAACCGTTATTTTGTGTTTGCATATGTCACCTTTGATGAGTTCTCTTTTTATTTTAAAAGTCAATCTTCACCTCTGTCTCTATCCAATCCTGTCAACACTCCTAGTACATTTAATGTTCCTATTGTATGTGACCCTCTAATTGTTTCTTCACCATTAGTTCCTGCTCTGCAGTCAGCTTCTTCTCCACTGCCTCTTCAAGTTTATAGTTGCTGAAACCAATCACAACCACCACCATGTGACTCCACTCAAGTGTCAACTACTCTGTCTACTCCGGATTTGAAACCTGAGTTTGACCTTCCCATTCCCCTCCGAAAAGGTATCCGTTCGACACGTAATCCCTCTCCTCATTATATTGCTTTGAGTCATCATCGACTGTCATTATCTTTTTATACATGTTTTTCCTCTATTTCTTCTGTGACCATTCCAAAAATTGTCCGTGAAGCTTTAACTCATCCTGGTTGGCGTCAGGCCATGTTAGATGAACTAAGTACTCTTCATAATAGTGGAACTTGGGAATTGGTCCCGTTACCGTCTGGAAAATCTGTTGTTGGTTGCAGGTGGGTGTTTGCTATCAAAGTTGGACCTGATGGTACTATTGATCGCCTCAAAGCTCGTCTTGTGGCCAAAGGTTATACTCAAATTTTTGGGTTGGATTATGGAGATACCTTTTCCCCCGTGGCAAAAATGGCTTCTGTTCGTTTATTTATCGCCATGGCCGCTCTTTAACAATGGTCTCTTTATCAACTGGATGTTAAAAATGCTTTCCTCAATGGTGATTTGCAAGAAAAAATCTATATGGAACAACCTCGTGGGTTTGTTGCTCAGGGGGAATCTTCTGGGATGGTATGTCGTCTTCGCAAATCCCTATATGGCCTAAAACAATCTCTTAGGGCCTGGTTTGAAAAGTTTAGCAAGGTTGTTCAACAATTTGGTATGACTCGATGTGAAGCAGATCATTCTGTCTTTTATCGACACTCGAGTGTTGGATGTGTTTACTTGATAATATATGTTGATGACATCGTTCTTACAAGTAGTGACAACCATGACATCTATCAGTTGAAACAACATCTATGTCATCATTTTCATACCAAAGATCTTGGCAAACTTAGATATTTCTTGGGTATTGAGGTGGCACAATCCAATGATGGTATTGTTATATCTCAGAGGAAGTATGCCATGGATATGTTGGAGGAAACTGGGTTGATGAGTTCAAAGTCTGTTGATACACCCATGAATCTCAATACTAAACTTCTACCAAATCAGGGGGAGCCTATATCTGATCCTGAGCAATATAGAAGATTGGTTAGAAAATTGAATTATTTTACAGTTACTCGTCTTGACATTTCATTTGCAGTCAGTGTGGTAAGCCAATTTTTTAATTCTCCATGTGAAGATCATTAGAATGCAGTCATTCGTATCTTGAAGTATATTAAAGGATCTCCTGGAAAATGATTGTTATATGGTTCTAATAACCATACAAAAGTTGTTTGCTACTCAGATGCTGATTAGGCAGGATCTCCTTTGGATAGAAGATCTACATCTGGATATTGTGTCTCCATTGGTAGTAACTTGATTTCATGGAAAAGTAAGAAACAAAGTGTTGTGGCAAGATCCAGTGCAGAAGCAGAATATAGAGCTATGGTTTCAACTTCCTGTGAACTTGTTTGGCTCAAGCAATTGCTTAGAGAGTTACAACTTGGAAATGTCACTCAAATGACACTTGTGTGTGACAATCAAGTTGTTTTTCATATTAGCTCTAATCCTGTCTTTCATGAGAGGACCTAACACATTGAGATTGACTGTCATTTCATTCGAGAAAAGATTATGTCTGGAGATATTAAGACTGAGTTTGTTAACTCAAATGATCAGTCAACAGATATTTTTACTAAGTCTTTACGGGGGCCTAGAATTGATTATATTTGTAACAAGCTTGACACATACGATTTGTATGCTCCAACTTGAGAGGGGGTGTTAGATATTGTTAGATATTTTTAGATATTGTTAACCACAATATCAAACAATATCTTCTATTTATTTTGTTTACTTTCGGTTACTCTTTTAGTTGTACCTCTCTCTATTATAAATAGATTACCCTATGTGTGGTTTATACACAAGGGAGATTAATCTCAAACCCTATTTCTTCTATATTCAACGGATGCAGTCCCCATCTCCCAACCACTATTTAATGAAGTTTAGCAAAAAATATTACCGATAATAGCATCATGTGCAATATCTGCAGCATCATCTCCGTTAGTACCATAGAATTTAGTGTAACGCCTGCAAACCAAATTTTTAATTATGTTGTGTAGCCTTAGTACAAGAGATATTCTCATACAATTTTCCTACCACAGTACCACCTACCTGTAATATGTCCTTCCTTCAGGAAACTTGACTTCAGGGCAGTCCCATGCCAATGAAAATGTCACAATACGCTGAGCATCAGAGGGAACAGTCACAGTTGCTGCAATAGCAGCTCCAATAGATGATCCTAGTTCTGAAGGGGCAGCAATTTCAGCAAAATTCAGATGGTCAAATGACCCATGCTGAAAAGAAAAATGATACCATAATGCACTTTAGTGAAATGTTATATAGCATGCATATGGATGATAGGAAGTTTAATATGCTCTAAGTTGCATCATTTTGAATTAGCATCGTTGAGACACCAACTAAAAAAAGTTTCTCAAATTTCATCATTAATGTTTCTTAAGGGAACAAAATTCACATAAATCCCACTACCACTCTGAATCCAGGAAAGAACAAGCTAAACTAAAAAGAGCGATACCACTCTGAATCCCATTATGTTAGTTTAATCAGTTCAACCATGACTTGCAGTAATAGATTTAGTTGCATGATCGTCTTCAAATTTCATATAGGTTTTTAACATGTGCATCCTTGTTGATCCAATATATTTCAGCAATTGTAAATCCATAATTACAACAGCCAATCCTATGAATGAATAGGAGGCATGGGAAATTAGCAAATAAGGACCAAGATGTGATTCTTTAAGCTTGAAATATTCTCTAAGAATGATGTTCAAAGGGATTCAAGTACCGCTAATTGTCATAATAGAAAACAAGATATTCAGACACCCAAAAGCAAAGGAAACTGCAAATAGTTGCTTTACAAAATTCTTACTGTTGCTTATCTATGAGAAAACATCATGAAGGAAAGTAAAACATTGAAAAAAAATATTTCAACAAATACTTGCGAAATTTGAAACAAGATTTCTAACCTGTTTAACTTCATCCCACATATCCTTAGCCGAGATACCGTTGTAATCACCAGATATAACAAAGACAGGGCACTCTGAGATATGAACATATTCAGTCTCTTCTGCAGCAATTGCAAATGTGACTGGCGATCTCTCATTTGCAGTCCTGTATATTAACATATCACAATTACATTTAATTTGAGAAAACAATAACTTTTTCCTTTTCATCTTTTGCTCGAAAGGAGAGTAAAAAACTATGCTTACTTATGATGTAGAAGCACAGCATGAACCCCATCACTCAACCTATCAGAAGATAATATGTATCGTGAACATTAGAATAAACTATTGACAAGCTTGGTTTGGGAGGGGGGGGAATCAAATTGGATCATCTGCATAGAGAAAGCAAACCAACTGACTATTTTCTTACATTTGCTTTGAATTAAAGTGGTCCCCAGTAAATTCAGAATTTCCTCCAACAGAATTCTGAAGCACACAGCAAATTGTTTGCACTCAGTGCCCCAATGAAAGAAGAGAGTACTAAAAACCAACAGACGACAACAGTAATGGCCAACATAAAGGTATCACTTACTGTCCATGTGAAAAGCAAGGTAACATCTGCTGTTGTGTTGCCTAAATTTTTCAGCTGCCAAAAATAAAATTGACACCTTATGATTAACTTTATAAGCATAAAAGTGTAACAAAAAATTATGGAAGTCACCCTTGCCTACCGTGAAGGTGAAAACTGCTACAGGAAAGCTACTCTCCTTATAATTATGAGGTATGACAGGTGAAATCTGACGACATACTATGCTCAAAGCAGGGTCAGGTTCTGCTTTTGAACAAAATAGACGATAGATATGAGAAACAGTGTGAACCATAATGGACATGGAACCATGCAAACTAGCCTAGCTTACCCTCGTATATTGTCCAAGCTCTTGGGTACAATGCATGATATATAGAACTGTTTCCATTTATATTCCAATCCCATGATTCAATCCCTGACGCTGTATTTTGTCTGAATGAAGTTCATGAATAATTTCTAAAATTATATTCAAAGAATTTAAATCTGCCATTCAAAATAAAAAATTAGAGACTGTTAAATTATAAGCAATCTATAAAGACTTACTTTATTATCTCTGGCTTTCCTGGGCAAAGTACACTAGAATATTTTTTACCATTTGGACGTGAAACAAAAACCTGAGACAACAGTCTTTCTCATGTCAGAAAATATAATATTATTTGCAGGATGAAGTGAAGAAAATATAATATCTCTTTTTGTTTAACAAATCATTATAGACCTAAATAAATTGTGCGAGATACTTGAAGAAAGACTAATCGAGAAACTTTTGTTTAACTCAATGATAATCACATTCCATCCAAAAGCATATTTTGTTTAAACACCAATTGTGTAATCAAACCACATTCTGGTGTGTTTTTTTTTATGAAATGTTAAACTTTGGACAAAATCATTATTTATGATGTCACTATATATGAGTCACCAACCCTAAATTTCAAACTCGTACATGTTCTGCTAGAGTAAAATTGCCTTGATTCGATGTCATCGAACCTCCTAAGAAAAATAGATAGGAAGGAAAGGAATAACTTTCTTGCCTCTTTATTACCATCGAAAGGAATATATAACAACATTACAATCACCAAATACTCAACAATCCGTACCATAACAAACTCCTACAATCATAAATAACAAACTTCTGACAACCTTCTAAAATTTGGACATCACATTTCAACATTCATGTGATAAAATATGCTAAATACAAGGGACGCTTGCTGATTCTTCTAGAACTTTCTTCATCCATATATGATTCAGACCCCTTATTAGACTCATCATTGAACTTGTCTTGGACCTCTTCATTGGGCTCTTTGATGGACTGTAGAGTAATAGTTGTTGGATTACTATCATTACCTACATGTGAAAAATCTACCTTGTCCTCAGTTGATAAGCTTGGCATAAATCCTCCCAATTCTCCCATGTAGTGTCTTGAGGAGCCAATCCCAACCATTGAACCAAAACTAATTTAGGTTGATGAATAGTAGAATCTCCAATTTGAAATCAAGTACAACCAAAAGTTCAAGGCATAGGATTATTATCCCGTGTTAATGGGGGTAGCTCAATGGCTGTGGTGGGTGTGGGTTCTTTGTGGTGTTTAAGGATGGAGCAATAAAAAACAGGATGAATATTGGATGTTGGTAGCAGATCCAAATGATAAGCAACTATTCCAATACATTCCAGAGTGTAAAAAGGACCAAAAAAACCATTTAGTGAGCTTGTTGTGATAGAGAGTCGTGAACAAAAGTTTGGTGATATGGATGAAGCCAAACATAACCTATGTGCCCATATGATACTCCACAACTCGTAGTTTGGGCTGTAAATAGCGGTTTATTAGAATAAAAATATTTTCATGATCTCCATATTGAGTAGGATAAAATATCTTTAGAGCATCAACTCAAAGCAATTGACTATTTTTTGGGCATTGAAATCAATTATCAATCTGACAAGTCCTTGGTGCTAACTCAAAGCAAGTACGTCCGCGATCTTTTGAATAAAACCAAAATGACTGAAGTTCATCCTATTTCTTCTCCTATGGTTTCATCATGTAAACTGTCTAAGACTGGTTTTGATACTTTTTCTGATCCCACTCTTTATCGATCAATTGTTGGAGCATTGCAGTATGCTACTCTTACTCGTCCAGATATCAGCTATGCTGTGAATAAGGTTTGTCAGTTTATGGCTTATCCATTAGTTGCACACTGGAATGATGTTAAAAGGATTTTGCAATATCTTAAAGGAACTATTTCCTATGGTCTTCATGTACAATTTGTTAGTGCCTCGAAGCCCTTTTCTATCACAGCTATGTGTGATGCGGACTGGGCTTCTGATGTTGATGATAAAAAATCCACCTCTGGCTTGACTATTTTTCTGGGTCCCAATCTTATTTCATGGTGGTCTCTTAAGCAGTGTCATTGCTCGTTCCAACACTGAAGCTGAATACCAAAGTTTGACTGAAGCTTCTGCTGAACTACTGTGGATTCAAGCACTTTTAAAAGAACTATCTATTTCCTTCTCCACTCCAGTTATGTTGTGTGACAATCAAAGTGTTGTTGTCATTGCTCACAATCAATTTTTTCACTCCAAAACAAACATATGGAAATTGATGCTTTTTGTGTTAGGGATCAAGTCTTGGCTCATCAGCTTGAAGTTTGTCATATTCCCAGTATGGATCAGTGGGTTGATGCTCTTACCAAGCCTCTCTCTCCTACCCGTTTTCAGCTTCTTCGGTCCAAACTCAAAGTTCGGGATGTTGTTGTTTCTTCTCCCTCACCTTGAGTTTGAGGGGGGTATTAGTCTGGTTCAAGTGTTGTTGCAGTTTTTGCTTCAATTATCTTACACTTATTAGGTGGTGGTTATGATTGTAACTGTTGCTCAGTTATTAGGCGGTTTTGTTTATAAGTGTTGCTTATTTCAGTCTTTATATTTTGGGTCTGGTATAATTGATTTTACGAAGTCTTTTTAATATAGTTTTTGTTTTGTATATTCAAAAGTATTGAATACACTAGTTATTCTATCATTTTTGTGTGCTTTTGTTCTCTCCTCAAACTCTAATAGGTAAAATACTCCGAAAGGTGTATCTCGTTAACATACTTCTTCTAAAACAAATGTATGAATATATCATCAACCCCTCCCCATGCACACTTTCACGTTAAAAATGTCAAAATATAGATGACTAAAAGAAATATATGGATTTAAGGGTGACCAACTAATTAACACAACATAAAAACCCATGTTAACCAAAATGGTGTAGTACCAAATCCTTAGGACCGATAACAAGTGGAATAATAGGCTAACAAATCTCGTTAGGATAGACTCTAATACCATATTTGAAGTTGAGATGTGCCTAACTCAATCCTAAAAAGTCAACTATATAAGGTGAGGTTTGAACCTCAATTATATATTATAAGTTAGTCATATCTTTAATCAATGTGGGATCTCAAACACAAGTAGTAAGGACTTTTATGAGAAGAGATCATATAAAAACAATGGTCAAACTTTTCCTTCATAGTTTATCCCTCAAGGCACAGTGGTATTTTACGTAATTATTGTGCTCAAATGGGTACAGAACCACCTCCTAAGACACAAATTATTGCTTCTTTGTTCTAGTACAAAGAAATAGAATCTATTTAAAAAAATTAAGAGAAAATTAAGGGAAAATGTCAAAAGCAGTGTGAAAGGTAAAGAAGAAAAGGGAGAAAGGCACATAGATGTCACTCACAAAAGGTGATGATATCACAGCCTGCATTATAACGATAATGTATATGGTAGATGAACAATTCAATTTACTGAACTAGTAAAAAAGAGAAGACATTTTTGTTCATCACAGTGTGAATATAAACCCATTGTTATACTGACATGCAAATTGTATCTAAGGTCTGAATATTGAATTTCATATTTCAAAGGAATACAGTCAGTGTCAGAGTGCTAGGACTGTCAGAAATGCTTAAAAGAAAGCAACAAGGTATCTTCCTGATCAAACAGAATGAGTAAAACTTACAGAAAACTGATTTGCTAAAACTGGTTTCTCTTCACATGCTACAGGGAATAGTTGCCAACGCTGAAATTCACCTCTGAAACTTCTTCCAATGCTTCCTGCTCTGGACATCAGTTTATCAACAACAAAAAAATGCATATTAATAACACAAGTTATCAAATAATGTTTTGGACATACTGAAATCAAGCAACCATAAATCGGATACTAATGATGTTTGTTAACAAAATAATTTCCAGGTTGTCAAATGTCAATCAAATGACTTTTACCATTTTTATCACTGTATCGTTTTGTTAGTCTGAGTTATTTCCCTGTAAATATGCAGTAAATTTCTGGAATGTGATAGTTTCTCCCTTTTACAATTACTAAATTACTATTTAATGAGAATGACCTAAATAGAGAGAATAGGTTTTCCCAAAAGTTCACTCTTGATATTACAAAGATGACTCGTGTGTGTGTTTCAACAAAACTAATGTGATTTTAACTTATTATATGATGGATATAATTAGAAATGAAAATATACCTATCAACATTCTAAGCATATATAAATCCAATTTGCACCCGTGCTAATAATAAGCTAATAAAGGACAACACTTTTCCAGGCACTACACGTGTTTTATACTACAACTACAATATGTCAAACCAAAATTCATAACCTAATTAGTTGAAGGTAACATTAAAAGGATCACATCACGAGGATGGTTAAGTTAATCTTGTGCTTATCTTTCGGCTTTGGCAAATGGATGAGAAATCTTACTTAATTAAAAACAGAAGACTTACCCAATAGCTCATATATATAAATATGAGAGAGAAGAAAATATATGTGCATATTTGCTAGCATCATATGGTATTAGAAACTTGGATAGTCTTTTGTTGGGATGGAATTCCTTCAATGGTTTGTTTTGTCTTACTAGTTTTAGGTTTTTTATAGGGGTTTGATGTGGCCTCCCCACTTTAGAGCGTCAACTACGCTTCATGAGAAAAAAAAACGACTTACCCAATACCTCCCAAGGGAACACCGTGACAAAATGTCACACTACGCTTGGCAAAAGGATCAATCATTCCAATCTGCAAGAAAGATAGAAACAATAAATAAACGCAGAAAACAGTTGGAGAAAGATAATCAGATGGATTCTTCATCAGCAATAATCGATATATGATGGAAACTTTTAGATAATACAAGATTACCCTTCCTTTGGCAGCTTCTTCCCGACAATGATGCCATAATCGATAACCAATTGGAGCCTAACAAATCAAAGAATAGTCTAAGGATTGGCAATCGTCAAATTCCTGATGCTCTCTAATTTGAAATATAATGCAGACATAGGTGAAAAAAAAGATGATAGAGTTAATATACTATATACCCAATAGGGATAATATTGCAGAGCATCAAAGTATTTCAATGGGGAGGTGACATTGAAGGGTCTTGTCCTAAAACAGAAATCCAGAACTGAGTAGCCTGAGATTTAAATTCTTTAATAAAGTATGGTTGTATGTGATATAAACATTTTACAAATATTCGAGACAAGGTGAGTATGGTTAAAAGAAAATCAAGTCCAAGAATAAAATGTTCCGAGTTGATGACAATAGGCGTACCAGATGAATAATCTCTTTCAAATGTAAGGAGATTTCTGATGAAGCATTTCCATTGGTGTTTAATTTTCGGTGCCAAGTAAGTGCAGGAGGTTTGGCTGGGTCAACCTTTGGAGGAGGGCATAAAATAAGAAGATATGTTAGTATTAGGATTAGGAATAGGAATTGTAATGGAAAAGTAGAAAGTGGACCTTGGGAGTTGTGTGATAATCGTCTTGAACAAACCCATTGTCTACCATCTTGCCTTGCCTTACCTCGGCGTGCCTGTGTGAAAGAAAGAAGATGATGCAAAAGAATAATGTTATTGGTCGTTATTTGTTGAATGAGATCCAATCGTAACATGCCATGCCAATTGAAATTATTTTCCCTTCCCTCTCATCTCATCGCTCCTGCTTCGCAAATTGCACTCATTCAATGCACCTTTTACAACTTCCACAATCTCCGCTAATCTCCATAAATAAATAAAACAACAAGTAAACGCTTCTTCTTTTTTTCATTCTTTTCAGATTTCTTTGTCAGAAGTACTTCTAACAATTTAGTACCTATGTGCAGCCATTATTTTTTGCCTTCACTATTGGATCAAACCATCCCTCCTCTTTGTTATTTTATGCGTTTGCACCTTAACAAAATAATTTTTTTTTAATGGTGTATCAAATAGAATTTGTTCTGACTGCAAAAAATCAACCTTGATTCTGAACTATACTTTTGTATGGTTTCGTCGGAACTAAAAAATCATAGCAAGTTGTAATTGAAACCAAGCTATGGAAGGCCACTTTGTGTTGACCACAAAGTTCCAGAATTTGATAAAGTAATTTGTAGTAGTCAAAAAAAGGGGAATCAGTAAGAGGAATCGTGGGATGCAAATTTTTGGGAAATCTTGGCGCATATATTGTTTATGAACAAAAGGGACTTATGCAAAAAATAAAAATAAAAATCATGACTAAAATTCTGTTGGACTAATTGTAAACATCAATCACTTAATCACAACAAATCGTGTATTCAAATGACTAAAAGTTCAAGCTAATTCATTCGCTAACGTTTAATATTTCACTAAATCCACCAAATTTATAGTTATCTTGACTTCGGATATATTCGTAAGACCAAAAAATATGACCCTTTCTTTATCTCTTTTGTAGGTATTAAGTCTATTATATTATATATTATAATATATATGAGTTTAGATTGAATATCCATTTTTATTATAACTATTATATTATATATATATTTATATATATATATATATATATATATATATATATATATATATATATATATGTAACTTATTTATTTATTTTATATACATAAAAGAATCTTAAATAAATATTTTAAATAGAGCATTTATTTACATTGTAAATAACTATTTATTTATTTGTTAGCTTAAATAAATCAATCTGATTAATGAAAATATTAATTGCACTTTCAATGAAAAATATTATAATAATCAACTGAGTAAAGGGTAAGAAATGCACAGAGGAAAAAGAGGGAAAAAAAGAAAACAAAACATAAACCAAATTGTGTTAATTATCTTCTTATCTAATTTAGTAATTACTAATTTGAAACGTTGGTATTGTATAACATATAGAAAAAAGTACTAGAAAATTATCAGTTTATTAATGTCGCATTAATTTTGAGATTCTAGCATATCAACTCTACAATGAACAACTGATCTTAAGAAAACAATATTTCATTAATAAATTTCAAAATTGTCTCCCTAAAATATGTCATGAGAATTATTCTCATTTATATAAAGATTATGTTATTCATGATCACATCACTCCTATTATTTCATTATTGACATGAGTTTCATAATATCTTCAACATCACTCCAACTATTTGGTATTGATTAGAGCTTCACAAAATCTTAATCGGTATCCCACAATGGTGCAAGAGAAACTCCAATGTTTAACTCTTACGATTACAAATTGCATTGTTATTGTCATTTGATATTTCCACTAAATATCAAATATTAGTGAAAGGAAAACTTATGCAATTAAAATAAAAAGAAACCAAAACTGATAAAGAAGACAAAGTAAAAAAAAAAAAAAAAAAAATCTTAAGAAACCAAATTCAAGAAATAACCATGATAAAGAAACTAAATGTAAAATTAAGTCGAATGTATTCAATCATTTCAAATAGAAATTTAGAAACGGGCAAAAGAAAAATTGTGGAGGATGGATGATACGTGAAAGAAATAAATTGACTCACTGGAAATTGTAAAGCAAATGCGCTACGTCTAGAATTAGGAGACAAACAAGAATTAGAAACTTGTTGAATCTAAAACCCTATACACTTGGTTTCCTTTCCCAGAAAAATTGTTATTCAGGCAAAGAAATCAGTTTGGGTTGGGGATCGCCTAGGCCATGTCCGGGATGGGATCCATGTCGGGTGGGAGAGAAGAGGCTTAGCTCAACAAAAGTACCATCGCTATCCCTATCCCTGTCCAATGTCTGAAATGAAATTGACCCACCTTTTGTTGATGCATCAGAATACCTGCCATGTCTGGGACTATTCCCCTCAACATCATTATCTTCTTGGTGACCCTGATTAGCAATAAGAGACATTGTATCATTATAATCAACATTGAGACTCCAAGCATCTAACTCTTGTAAATTCCCTAGCGCTAAACTATCTGCAACTGGACGATACACAAGCATGCACATGCACACCCCAGCACAACACACAAGGGCAAGAAAAGCCAAGAAAGCAAAGGCTTCAAACATAAAATGCTCAGGTCCAGACAAAACGGATAAACCAAGGAAAAGAACCCTTAATGGAAGGAAACCTGAAACTGAGAGTATCAACGTGTAAATCCTCTTCTGCAAACCCTTATTAATGACTAATTTCAAAATCCTACTTCCAAGCCAAAAGAGGTAGGAGGTCAGGATAATGGCAAAAAGGCCAAGGAGAAGTGTGCTGAGTAAAGGGTAAGTACAGAGGGCGATGTCATGCTCCTTTGCAAATGAAGAAGCAGCAACTGTACTTGTAAAATAATGAGGCAACTTTTCTCCAGAACCATTGTTATTCTTGTTTAGCTGAGGTCCAACCAAAATGACAAAAAGTTGAAGAACAAAAACTGGGAAGCAGTAAAGCAGAATATACCCTGCTGTTTTCCCATTCCATTTTCTGTTCATAATTCCAGTCTCCAATGTCTGTAAGGGTGCACGAAGGAGAAACACGAGTGTGAGGAAGAGACACGGTTCTGCAAACCCCAGATTTGATACAATGTAGCATTTGCATATCGTTTCCTGCCATTTTAAGTGAAGGGCACGTCTTAACAAACTTAACCGAATAATCTCACCGAGACCCCACCAGATTGCAAACAGAATGAATGCTATTCTGATGATCCAAGGACCACTAAAATAACTGAGCTGAACAAAACCCTGATGATTAATACGAGAGCGAAAGTAAAATGAGTATGCAATGCACAACAAGCCCAGAAGAAGCAATATGGCTACTAAACAAATTGTGACCACACTGAATGCATCGGCAGCAAATCTCGTCAGGGGCATTACCCGAATTACAGATTCCAAGCATGCTCTCTGATAGCATGGATGCAAAAATTCCTCTGATGTGAGCGTTTTCTTTTCAGAAGTGAACTTCAACTCGCTCAGTTCTTAGCAATAATAATACAGATCAGACACATTCATTATCACTCCAAGTGAACAAGTAGCTCCCTTTCACATGGTTCAGGCAACGAGGGCGGGGGTAATGCATGCATCAAGCTCAAGTACCTATACAAAATAATCCAGAAAAGACAAGCTCATAAGTAACACTGGAACAAAATTACTTGGATACTAAATAATCAACTGAACATAGAATTAAAAATGGTTTCATGAAGCAGGCAGCATATTTGCATGAATGATTGATCGGCGGTGAAGTTGAAGAAAAGAAAGAGTGAAAGATGAGTTGTAATTGGGACTCTGACACATAGGCATACATAGCAATAACAAACAAACAGGCACATTAAGGTAGCGAATCTGAAAGTGGGTGGGTGGTTGAATAAAAATTGAAACCTGGTCTATATTAGAGGATTAGAAAAGGAAAAGAAAAATAAAGAGGAAAAAGGAAAGGTCGAAGAAACGATGGAAGGGAAAACTTACGTTAGGGATGAGAGCGTTGGAGATGGAGATGGAGATGCGTGGATCTAGCGGAGCAGAGAAAAGGACGAAGGAGAAATGAGAAATGAGAATCCAAAGACCATGCTTTGTGTTGTGTTGAGTTGTGCTGTTCCAAATTCTAAATTCCAAATTCTAAATCATAATACACACACACACATGTTGTCTCCAGCCTGTCTCCAGCTGTTTCAACCCAACTCTCCCTACAGTGCCGCCCTCTCCTTATTTTCTTAAATAAATACTAAAACAAATACTTTCTCCCACCAAGTAAGGACACAGCTATATTTATATATATTCCTTCTAACTTGTCATATAAAGTCCCATCACCAAAGTGAACACTAGATAATTTCTTCTCCATTAACCATATAGGGAATAAACGAAATTATTCTTTTATAATTTAAAAAATAGCTTATTCATAAGTTATTTGTAAAACATTTTTACATAGTTTTTTTATTTTTACATAAATTATTTTTTATTTATAAACATTTTTTTATAACTACTTTTAAAAAATTTATCTCCCGCAAAGTAACCTTAAATAGATATTTTATATAAATAACTTTAGTTCATATTAATCACCTGAAAGAAAGAAAGAAAAAAAAAACACAAACGTTAGACCTTACAAATTATTTTCTTATTAAAATACAAAAAATTAAACTTATGTCTCTCGTTGACACATTCAGGATTAAGACCAAGGGAGGGGAGTGGATTTTGATTTATCATTCGACATTTTTAACTATTTCCTTTCCATTTTTTTATTTTAGTCGATTAAAAATTAAGTCTTAAATTTCTGTTAAATTTCGAGTTTTTTTTTCTTTACTATCTATATTATTAAATAAAAAAATAATTATATTTATAATAAATTAATTTTATATAGTTTTATATATAAATAATATTTATAATTTTATAATTTGTAATTATTATTAATTAAATATATTTTTTAATTTATTATATTTATATTAAAATATATATAAAAAATATTTAAATATTTTTTATTTATACATATATAAAATATTTATAACATTATTATTATTATTATTATTATTATTATTATATATTAAAAAATTTATTACATATATAAATTAATTCATTTTTAAGTTTTTATCTAAAAATATAAAATATATAATTTATAAAGAAAATATTTAATAAATTAATTTTTATTTAATTAGTCCGAAGTAATAAAATTTTAAATTATCAATTTTTTTAATCATTTAAAATATAATTATTTTATTAAGATAAAATTGATATATGACAAATAAGAATAATAAGATCTAATAAAATATAACCTAATAAAACCTAATTAATATAAATTATAAATAAAATAATATTAGTTACTATTAATATTTATATAAAATATTTTAAAAAAGATAAAGAAGAAAAAAATTATATTCATCAAATTAGTTGAAAATAAAAAAAAAACAAATTGATTAGATTAAAGAGATGTGAAAAACGAACAAATAAGAAAAAGAGAATAATATAATAAATTAATTGATATAAAAAAATAAAAAAGATAAATAATTAAAAAAATAGATAAAAGAAAAATAAAAATTATGAAATATAAAAAAATAATCTTATATATAATAAAAAAGAAAATAAAACTTTTTAAAATATTAATATTTTTGTATTATTCATTCTGTCCTCTATTAACTTAATTTTTCTTTATCAAAATCAAAAGAGAATAGATTATTCTAGATGTACAAATTTAATTAACATAATAATTTAAAATTAATCATCTTAATACTCTATAAACTTTTCGCATTGACCTATAACAAATTTAGGAATATCAATTACAATAATACACTTATAATAAGAGAATTTGTATTGTTAGATTTTGAGAATTAACATAAAAACAATTTTATTGTTTAATTTAAAATAGATTTGAATACAAAATGTAACATTTTAGATATATATTACGTTAGAAAAGAAAAGTCATGTCTTTTTAATGAAAATGATAGACTCCTTGTTTACTGTTTTTAAAAATAATTTTTAATTTTTAAAAATTGAAAATTTTATTTGATAACTATTTTATTAAAATAATATTTAAAAATTGTTGTAATTTTTCCTTTTTAAAAATAAAAGAATAAAATATTAGAAAAATATTTTAAAATCTATTTTAATTTTTTTATTATAATCCATTATAAAAAATAATTTTTTATTTAATAAGACTAAAATTAAATATATTAATTAACATAATAATTAAAACTTTGTAATCATATGACTTTTTAAAAAAATTTAAAATGGTTTTTGAAAAAAAATTATTAAACAATTTTTTTTTCATTTCGTAAAATAAAATAATATTTTTTAACTTATACTCACAATTTTTTTAAATCTATTTATTAATTTTTTTAAAATTAAAAATCAAAATTAAATCATACCATCCATAACTTTTTTTATTTTTGTCAAAGTAGGTCAAATAATAATAAAAATTTATCTTTTAAACTTTATGTCTTGATAAAAAAAAACATTAATTTAAATTTTAGAATAATTTTGATCATTAAAATCAATACAAAATCCCAAAGATTTATCATTGAAGATATTCTAATAAATTTTAAAAGTGTTTGAAATAATACAGATTGAAAACTAATGGTAAATAATCCATGAAATATTGATATATTTTATAATTAGTTATTTATACAATGTAATAAATCCTCAATTAGGTAATTTAGTGTTCAAAAATATATTTTAATGATATAATTTATGTGTGAATAATATAATACATACAATATAATAAATTAACATTAATCAACATAAATAATAACAATTCGTGTCCTTCTAGGATACAAATTATTATCTCACTCTAAAATGGAATACGCTGACTAATATTAATATTTTAAACTAATTTTAAATAATACAATATAATTAATAAAAGTAATTATGGAAAATCACTAAAAAGTTATATAGAAAAACACGTAGATCTTTGGATAATATTTTCTTGAATATTTAATTGTTGTAATTAGAAGAAAATGGGGGTAGACTTTAGAAGTGGGCCGAGCCGGCGAGACAACGGAGCAAAACCCTAATAAGAAGATAGTGAAGCAGTTGGATCTCACTCACCAATCCTACTTCGGAAGAACGCTCCCTCCTTCGCGCTGTAAGATTTACTCTCTCTTCCGCTGATCGTTTCAATGAGACTTCGATTTCAATTTCATATTCATCATCGATTAGCAGGTCCAGATCGTATCACAACACAAGAAGAGGGGCGACTTTTTTCCTTCAACTTCAAGCCATGGCACCGCTGGTGAGTCTAAGTCTCCCAATTCAAATAATATAATTCTTTCTTTCTTTCAGATTTTCAGTTTGACATCGAGGAACTTTCACTCCCTCACTCACCCACTCACTCACTAATCACCTCCCTTTCCTCCCCCCTTTCTATCTGTCAATCAATTCGATTGTTTTCTAGATCTTGCATGGTGGCAAAACAAACAAAAATTCCTACAAGACACTCATTGCTGCTGAGTACGCTGGCGTCCAAGTTGAATTTGCACCAAATTTTGAGATGGGTGTCTCCAATAAAACTCCTCAATTTCTCCAGATGAATCCTATTGGCAAGGTATCGTCTTTACCCGCATCTATATACTTAACTTTAATGGAAACCGCACTTACATTTCATCTCAACTTTGCATCATTATTCTTCCAGGTTCCTGTTTTGGAAACACCCGATGGTTCAGTGTTTGAGAGCAATGCCATTGCTCGCTATGGTAAGTAATATTATATATATTCTGCCTTTTTTCTGTGTTTTGAAACCCCGAGACCACGAATTAACGGTTTACATGAGCTAATTCAATAATGTTCATTTTTTGTAACTTCATGCATTGGATACATGAGCTAGTATGTGGATTATTGTGATTTGTTTATTCTGATGTTGCGGCTGTTTTGATACAGTTGCCCGGCTGAAGGGTGATAACACTTTGTACGGTTCTTCTTTGCTTGAATATGTGAGTCTATTTTCTTCCTAAAGTTGTCTCAAATGTATAATGACGTAGTAGAGTATTCATAATTGTAATGATGTAAGGTTGCTTGTATTCTATTAGCTTATGTCGTCATATTTTTGATATTTTATTTATTTTAACGTTTCAGGCCCAGATTGAACAATGGATTGATTTTTCATCATTTGAGGTAGATGCTAATATTATTAAGTGGTATGCCCCTAGAGTTGGACGTGGACCATACCTTCCTCCAGTAAGTTGTTTGGAAAGAAATTTTTTGATACTTACGACGTTTGCAATTTAGAAAATTGATATGACGTCTGCATGTTTACTCTCAATGCAAAATGTCAGTTGATTTCTTCTATCCTGTTGGTTAGAATATAATCATACAAGATCTGTTAGTTCAATTGGCAATGTTAAAACATCAAGAAAAATAGACAGTTATGGTGCAATTGAACCGGATATTGTAAATGGGCATGTGTTTAATTCATCTGCCTACAGTTTGTGCTGTTTGTTTTTCAAGATTTTTCGTTCTTGTTAACATTATATTACCCTGATATGTTGGCCTGATCTTAATTATGTGTGTGAATGAAGGCTGAGGAGGCTGCCATATCTGCACTAAAGAGAGCTTTGGGTGCTTTGAACACTCACCTTGCCTCCAATACATACCTGGTTGGGCATTCTGTGACCCTGGCTGACATCATATTGACATGCAATTTGTATTTGGGTTTCACAAATATCCTGGTTAAGAGCTTCACCTGTGAGTTTCCTCATGTTGAGAGATACTTTTGGACCTTGGTCAATCAACCAAACTTCCGAAAGATATTTGGGCAGGTGAAGCAGACTGAGGCTGTTCCACCTGTTCAATCTGCAAAGAAGCCTTCCCAGCCAAAAGAAACTAAGCCCAAGGCCAAAGATGAACCAAAGAAGGAGACCAAAAAGGAGCCAGAGAAGCCCAAAGAAGCAGAAGCAGAAGAGGAGGCACCCAAACCCAAACCCAAGAATCCCCTTGATCTTCTCCCTCCAAGTCCAATGATTCTGGATGAGTGGAAAAGACTGTACTCCAACACCAAAACCAACTTCAGGGAAGTTGCTATCAAAGGTATGTTTCCTATATCCCATTCGGAGTCATTGTTTTGAATTTTTCCCTTGGATTATAGCTTATAATCATTACAAAGTGATTATGAATACATTTTCAAATAATATAAATTTTATGACATGCAGAGGCAGGGTCATTTTTAATTATTCTTTTTATATGCAGGATTTTGGGACATGTATGATGCTGAGGGATACTCTCTCTGGTTTTGTGATTACAAATACAATGATGAGAATACTGTTTCTTTTGTGACTTTGAACAAGGTTGGTGGATTTCTTCAGCGGATGGACTTGGCTCGCAAGTATGCATTTGGAAAGATGCTTGTCATTGGTTCAAATCCACCATTTAAGGTGAAGGGGCTGTGGCTTTTCCGCGGGCAAGAAATCCCGCAATTTGTCATTGATGAATGCTATGACATGGAGCTTTACGAGTGGACGAAGGTTGACCTATCTGATGAAGCTCAAAAGGAGCGCGTCAATCAGATGATAGAAGATTATGAACCTTTTGAGGGCGAGGCTCTTTTGGACGCTAAGTGCTTTAAGTGAAAATTTATTGCTTTTAAGAGTCTGCATCTGTCACATGTCTTCGTTTTTGGTAGGGTTCGGTTTCTTTTATATTTATGTTACAGTGAAGAAGTGTTAGCCGTACGGACTTGATTTATGCCACATCGAAACCTCGGAATCTTTAGTTTTCTACCTTAATTTTAATGATAGCAAGACTAATTTGAAAGTGCCCTATTTTTTATGTTGGATCTAGAAGCATTAATGGAATTCAGATGGGTTCGTTTTTTCTTTCTCCTAGCCTCGGTAAAAGAGCCATGCGTCTGACAGGAATTGTTTATTGTTTGAAGTGAATAAAATGATATTAGGTTATGATATAAAAAATGTGAATGAATTTGTTTTACTGAAAAACTATAAGCTGAAGTGCAATCTTGTTTCTCGACCCACTTGTAAAATAATAACATGATTTTTTTTTTTATCTATTTCTTGTTTTCTTTATCTTAAAGAGTAAACTTGTCTTCCATATTTCCCTTTTACTTGATATAGAGGTAGTGTCCTAGGTATGACAATGGATGGGGCGGGTGGGTTTTGTTTTCCGATCTGTTGTTCGATTTTTTTTAATCATATTTAATTTATATTATTTAAAAAAAAATAATTATATTAATAAAAAATTAATTTTAATACGTATTTTTTATATATAAATAAATATTTATAATTTTATAATTATTATTAATTAAATATATATTTTAATTTATTATATTTATATTAAAATATGTATATAAAAAATATTTAATTATTTTTTATTTATATATATATATATATAGAATATTTATAATATTATTATTATTATAATATTATATTCAAATGTTTAAATATTTTATTATTATTATTATTATCATTATATATTCAAATATTTTATTACGTATATAAATTAATTTATTTTTAAATTATCATTTAAAAATATTAAATATATAATTTATAAGAAAATATTTAATAAGTTAATTATTATTTAATTAGTTCAAAGTAATAAAAATTTAAATTATTAATTCTTTTTAATCTTTTAAAATATAATTATTTTATTAAGATAAAATTTGATATATAACAAATAAGAATAATAAGATCCAAAAAATATGAAATAATAAAATCTAATAAATATAAATTATAAATAAAATAATATTATTTATTATTAAAATTTATATAAAATATTTAGAAAAAAATAAAGAAAAAAATTTTAAGCTGTGTTTATCAAATTAGTTGAAAAGATTGACAAAAAAAATTGATTGAAAAGATTAAAGAAATATGAAAAACTGAAAGTAAGAGAAAGAAAATAATGTAAAAACTAATTGATATAAAATATTAAAAAAGATAAAAAAATTAAAAAGTGGGTAAAAAAAAGTAAAAATGGTAAAATAAAAAAATGAATGGACAATAAATACTTTTAAAATATTAATATTTTAAAATTTAAATTTAAATATAAAGTTGGAGCGGGGATTACATCACTTATCCCATCTTGACTTTTTAAAGTGAGAAAAATCTAAATCCGCTCCCATTTTCTCACTTTCTCTTTATCAAATTCGGGACAGAAATAGATTGATATTCTTCCACCTTAACCTAAAGATTCATTAGAATTCACATTTTCGTTAAATGTCGAGCTAAATGACTGAGTAAAAGTTGGAGTTACATCAAAACTCTTTTTCTGTCTTCCTTTGACACAGTTCCATACCAGCCATCCATCACACCAAAAAACACCCAAATCAAAAGAAAAAAAAAAGGGGTTATGAATGATGAAGAGAGTGATTTAATAAAAAAGAAGTGTGAATGTTAAATAAGGGAATAATAGACGAGGACGATGATGAAGAGATACAGGGTTAATCACGGTATTTAAGAGTATCTTTTTACTTTGACAATACTTATCTTAAATAAGTCTAGGCTAATATATATAAGTGGTGGAAGGGCCACAAATAATACAAGTGATATTTAACATGCCACTTCATCATCCAATATCAATATCATTATGTTTATCCACGATTGAATTAATGTGACTAGTAAAATCTAAATCGATGGACTTCTTACTATTTTGTTGATTTAGGGACCAAACCAACAACACCTTCCAGATCAAACCCAAACACAATGGTTACTCATTCTCTGTATTCATGTTAACTTCTTGGATTTCTTTTTTTTTTTTTTTTTGTGGAAAAATTTGGGGCCGCACTACAATTTTCTAAATTAGAAAGGGTGGATATTTCCAAACTAAAAATTGAATTGTTTTATATATTTTATTTCTTGTTTTTACATTTTAAGTGCTGTTAATTTTTTATTCAACAATTTTTATTAAGCAGATTCAATTAAAAGTAGTCAATATTTTATGAATTAATTTGATTATAACGTATAATTATTTAAAATTTAGTAGAGATGCGATGAGATGAGATGAGATGATGAGAATAATAGGAGTTGGAAGGAAGTTGTGGTTGACGTGGCTAATTTAAGAACAAGAAAATAAAATGAGGGGAGTTGAAATGAGAAGTGAGAAGTGAGAAGGGAGAAGCGAGAAGTTGAAGTGAGGATGTCCATGATGATGGCTGCTCCTAATTTGGTGAGATGTTACAGTTCATACAGAAATGCTGTGATGAGTGATGCTTCGAAGTCCAAATCCAAGTCCAAGTCTAAGACAGATGGTGAAGCTGGTGTTGTTGTCATTGGGAGTGGCATTGGTGGACTTTGTTGCGGAGCACTGCTGGCAAGATACGAGGAAGATGTGTTGGTGTTGGAAAGCCATGACCAACCCGGTGGTGCTGCCCATTCTTTTGATATCAAAGGCTACAAGTTTGATTCTGGGCCATCATTGTTCTCTGGCTTGCAATCAAGGGGTCCTCAGGCTAATCCTCTTGCTCAGGTTTTGGATGCCCTTGGCGAGTCTCTTCCATGTGCCTCTTACGATTCCTGGATGGTTTACATACCTGAAGGTCAATTCTTGTCACGCATAGGCCCGACGGAGTTTTTCAAGGTTCCTCTGCTTTGCTCTGCTCTGCTCTGCTCTACATACATATTTACATGCCCTCTCTCTCCCTCTCTCTCTCATCACTTATCTTACCTGCATCCAGGACCTTCAACAGTATGCAGGTCCAAATGCTGTACATGAGTGGCGCAAACTCTTAGTGAGCTCTCTTCTCTTCTCTTCTCTTCTCTTCTCCCATCCCAATATTCTGCAAGCACATCCTCAAGTTATTAAAGCTTGTTTATTATCGTAATTGGTTTCACATCACAGGAAGCTATACTTCCATTATCTACAGCTGCAATGGCTCTTCCCCCTCTATCTATTCGAGGAGACTGGGGTGTGGTTTCCACTGCTGCAGCTAGATATGCTCCCTCTCTCTTAAATTCTTTTCTTCAAATGGGACCTAGGAATGCTCTTGGGGCAACAAAACTTCTCAGACCTTTCTCCGAAATACTCGATGATTTGCATCTCAAAGACCCTTTCATACGGAATTGGATTGACCTCCTCTCATTCTTGCTTGCTGGGGTCAAAGCTAACGCTATACTTTCAGCAGAGATGGTTGATAATTACTATTCTTTCACCTAGTTTTATTAATCGTTATGTCTTACTTATAGTTTCAAATGACACAATTTTAATTTAGATAGATTTATTATTGGAAACTGTTTCCCCATAGCATTTGCAAAAGGGTGCTTCATTGTTTTTTTCTACAACAGATAGTTTTTGCAACCGTGTTATTCCCTAATCCATAACTTCTCAATTTTAATTTCGTAATTATAAATTTACATCCCTCTAAGGTCGGATGCTCACCAAGGATTCTCTTTACCGAATTTTCATATATTAGGACACAAATTACGTGCAAACAAAAACAGACACATTTACTTGTTAAATTGTGCTTACTATTCATGCAATAAGATTGTCCTCATTATAATTGCTTTTCGCTATTAATCTTGATAGAACAGAGGATATTTCTTTTTAAATTTTGACTCCATGTACAGAGTATCGAAGATTGAACCTTTTCGTTTCTTAACATCTTCTAAAAAAATGGTAGAGAAAGTTAATGAAACACTGCTGGTTGAAACCTTATAGAACTAATTTCGTGAAACCTTCGCAAATCGTTACTAATATTTCTGTTTATTAATGTCCAAACAAATTTCCCCCCAACTTTTCAGGTTTACATGTTTGCAGAATGGTACAAACCAGGATGCAGTCTTGAGTACCCCCTTCATGGAAGTGCAGCTATTGTGGATGCTCTTGTGCGAGGACTAGAGAAATTTGGTGGAAGAATTTCTCTCCAAAGTCACGTGGAAAAGATTGTTGTTGAAAATGATAGAGCCATTGGAGTCAAGCTGAGGAGTGGTCAAGTTAGCACATTTTGATTGACAAGAAAAGGAACAAAGATAAACTTTACTTGGATTGACATCTGTATTTTAATTTTTAACTGAATATTTACGTATTCTGCAGTTCGTACGTGCTAAAAAGGCTGTTGTCAGCAATGCATCGATGTGGGACACCTTAAAATTGCTACCTAAAGAAGTTGTTCCAAAGTCTTATTCAGATAGGATTAAGACGACTCCTCAGTGTGATTCATTCATGCATCTCCATTTGGGTTTTGATGCTGAGGTTTGCCATTTTGGTGACTGGTTTTATTTGTTTCTAATGTCTTTCACTTGAAGCAAATCATAAATAAAAGAAGAAGGTCCATGTTACTGCCAAAGATTTCATATGTTTGGTCAGTTCACGAACTGCATTCCAAATAGTTGGCAGTGCACAAAACACTGTTATCGGTCATTTCTTCACTGGGAATTGGTATATTCCCCTCCTTTTATACCACAACCTTCTTTATGTCCTCAAAGTTGTAGCGGCACAACACAAGTACTGTCAATCATGCTGGTTGCATGTTCAAGTTTGAAGTATCTGTCTGTTATCATCCGCTGTTTAAACTACTTAAACCAAAGTTGATAACATTTTCCAATATCTGATTTACCAGGGTATACGCAGTGATCTGGGGATTCATCATATAGTAGTAAATGATTGGAAAAGGGGAGTTGATGCAGACCAGAATGTTGTGTTGATATCAATACCTAGTGTACTTAGTCCTAATCTTGCCCCGCTTGGGAAACACGTCTTACATGCTTATATGCCAGGAACTGAACCATTCGAGTTGTGGGAAGGACTTGATCGTAGAAGTGCTGAATACAGAAATCTGAAAGCTGAAAGATCAGAGGTATGAATATCATATGTGGATAATGTGATATGTATGTATGGTTAGTAGTAACATAACATAGCATAGGTGTGTGTGTTTGTTGAATAAGGTAATGTGGAGAGCTGTGGAGAGAGCAGTGGGGGAAGGTTTCAGCAGAGAGAAATGTGAAGTGAAGTTGGTTGGAAGTCCACTGACACATGAAAGGTTTCTTCGGAGGAACAGAGGAACATACGGGGCAGCTATGGAAGCTGGCAAAGATACCTTTCCTGGACATTCAACTCCAATCTCACAGCTTTATTGTTGTGGAGACTCCACCTTTCCTGGCATTGGAGTCCCTGCAGTTGCTGCCAGTGGTGCAATTGTGGCTAATTCATTAGTCTCAGTATCTCAACATTCCAACCTGCTTGACGCGATTGGCATATGAAACCAACAAACAAAAACTATTGTGTGGCTTTCCACATTTACCTACCTCTCTTTCTTCTATCTTCACTTGTAATTGGAGTTATTACTGGACTAAATGTCATTATTTAAGGCTTCACAGAAATTGCGACTGGTGGAAAAAATTATGCAACTTTTCTTATGAGTACAATTTTGAAAGCAAAATAAACGTGGAATTATAACACACAATTGCTAATGGATTTCAGCCAATTATGCTCAAATATCAGGTTTGCTGTAGATCTTTTACTCAAGGAAAGTATGCTCAAGTCAAGCCCTTTATAAAATGAAGTTTTTAATAATATTAAATTATTAATAAGCAAATTCTAATACTTTGTAACTCTGCTTTCACAATGTTATTAAAAGAATAACTAGCCAAAAGTCTTGATATATTAAAAACTAAATCATTCAATGTGTATTCATTAAGGTCTATTTATAAATTTAAAAAAAGGTAATTTTATTTTAAGAAGATTTGAGGATAGCAAAACAGGTTAAACTCAGTCTACTATAATATGATGGGATGAGCCTATTTGAATCCATATAATAAATAAAAAAATATTTTTTTTATTATAATATAGTTAATCATAAAGATAATATATAAAGTAAAAATTTCTAAAAAGAGAATTACCACTCATTCTAGGAAACATTCTCCTTACTCAAATACATTTTTCTCCTTGTTGTTCATTATTTCCTCCTTGTTTATCATGAGTATTGATTATTTTTATTCTTATAACTTAAATTAAAGGTGTTAGAATTACTCAAGGGGAGATTAATATGAAGTTTTGTCAAATAAAAAATATATATGTATTTAAATTTTTTAATATAAAAAATATAAATTTTACAAGTTTTGAAGTTATTTATATATATTTATTATTATTCTAAATTATAATTTTTTAAAACAATGTGTTGATTTATATTATTATCTTGAAATATATATATATATATATATATATATATATATATATATTAAATTATTGACAAACAAATGATAATGTTATTATTAAATTTATTAAAAATTTTGATTTAAAAAATATTTTTTTTAAATTATACGTGTCGTGTGGCAGAGTAAACCAAAGTTTACATACTGTCATAATTATAACGGGTCAGATTGTTCTGTCTCATTTTTGACCGATCAAAAACGGGGTGAGTCAAAACAGGGCAGACTAACCCATTTTGTCATCCTTATACACAATCCTTAATCTCGAACATGATTATTAATTAGAGGACATATTGTAGTGTGATATTGATTGATTGACATGAAAATTAAGTTTAAAATGTTACATTATAACAAAAATAATAAATTTGTTAAGATGATCACACAAAAACTAGAAAAAAAAAATGATTGGTAGAAAGACTATCACGTAATAACGAACTAACACAATTAATCTATAAAAGGATTAATGGAAAGATGATCAAGTAACAAAATATAAATATTATATTTAAAAGATGATTACGTAATAACATAAATACTAAGTTAATAAGATTAATTAAGATAATGTTGGGATAAGTTAAGACGTAGAAGATTCCGAGTTGATTACGTAATAACATAAGGATAGGTGATCTTCGCTCTCAAGACATTGAAGAAACAACTCTATATATGTTGTTTTGAGTTGTAGAAGATTTCGATTTTGAGAAGATTGCAGAAACTATATCTGCCATCAAGGTGTGAGATGCATCAGAGAAGGAGTACAAGAACGATAACTGAGTCACACGAATTTGGCGACAAACATTACGTAATGAGATGAAGAGTATGATAATATAGGAGTCGGAAGAAGTTATTAAATACGTCTTGCATATTGGAAATGTGGCAAAACAATTTAATAAGAATGGAGATGCATTTTATAACAAATCGTTCAAAAGATCTTGAGATTATTAACAAATGAATTTGAAAATGTAGTGTTCATGATAGAGTAAACAAATGATTTGTCCGATCTTCCAATAAAAAAATTGGTTAATTCTCTTGAAGCCTATGAACAACGAAAGAAGAAAGAGAAAGAGGAGACAACTGTGCAATTTTTCCAGAATGAGGCAAAATAGGATAAGGTTCTTTATTCCTAGAACAATAAAGGTAGAGGACGGGGACGTAGTGGTTGAGGTTGAGGTGACCGAGATAGCAAGAAGGAAGAAAGAAATCAACAAAATTGATAAGGTAGTGGATGTGGTTGGAGAGGAGGTCGATTAACGAGTCATTATAATGTTGAGTACTTCAAGTGTGACAAATATGACCACTATGCAAATGAATGTTACTCAAACAAGTGTTATAATTATGATGAGATTGGACACTTTGCGAAAGAATGCCAAAAGATGGAAGAGACTTATCTCGTAGAGGAGATGAAAATTGAAGAAACAATATTGTTGATGGTCGACAACAACTCGGTAATACACAAGGGAGCATATGTCGATCACAACTTGATAATACATTTGAGAGAAGATGACAACTTGGAAGGTTTGATATGGTATTTTGACCCTGGTGCAAGTAACCCTATGTGTGGGGACGATAACCTATTTAACAAATTGGAGAAATTTGAGAGTGATCATGTGTCTTTTGAAGATGATTCGAAGGTCTTAGTAAAAGGCTGAGATACTATTTATTTACTACAGAATGATGACCTAGTCATGTCAATTCGAGATGTGTTCTATATTTCAGATCTCAAGAGTAATCTTTTGAGTATGAGACAACTGATGGAGAGATGATACTTGGTATTCATGAAATATTAAATATGAAAATTGAAGGACAAGCTCGAAAGACTGATTGTCCGAATAGAGATGAGGAATAATAGAATGTAAAAGTTGTAGCTAAGAAACATTTGCGAGAAGAGTCTAAAATCAAATGTAGATGACACGTTGAAGAAAAATCATTGATTTGGTCACATGCATATTTGTAGTGTAATCGAGTTGATTCATGATGATAATCATGATGTTGATATGAGCTTCCAAGTTGATAAAATGAGTGAGTGAAACTGAGGAGAATTGGAGGATGATAGAGGAGGATGAGTTGCTACATCACCAGTACTAGCCAATTCAAAAATTAAGGAGGAAGAAACAACAATACTCATGAAGTTGAAAAAGAACATGATGCTCGATTTGCCGAGCATAGAGGGGAGAGTTTGTGAAGGTGTGGCGAAAATTGAACTTTAGAAAAATGCCGAGTACAGAGAAAAATATTGAGAGAAAAAAATGCTGAGTATAAAGAAAAATATGAGTTAAGTATGAGTAGTGGATTCCGAAGTAACCAAGTCCAAGCTATTATGGACAAAATAATTTGAGTTGTTGGGGACGAGAAGGTTCGAGCTATTGTAGATGAGATGATTCAAGTTGTTATTGAAGAGAAGATTCAAGTTGTTATGGATTTGAAAATCCAAGTTATAGAACATAATGACATGTTGGTTATGATCGAATTGTCAAGCTTTGACCGAATTGTTGGTGTGAAGCAGATATTCAATAAATATGATATACTTTTAAGTTGGTCTTTAACCTAGCTCAATCAAAAGAAAATAGGTGAAGAATTGCTAGGTGTAGCATAGTAGAGTGTGCGTCATGTAATATGGTTCAAAAATTTGTTAAACTCAATGAAAGAGAAACAACTTAATGTAACGATGATTTGAGTTGATAACAAGTTGACTTTTGAACTGACAAAAAATCCGATCAACATGAGAGGAACAAGTACATCGATGTGTGTTTTCACATCATCTAAGAACATGTGAAGGAAGGGAATGTTGAGTTATTGCATACTATATTATTCAAGAATTACAAGAGGCTGATCGAGATGAATGATGAAAGGTATTCAAGTGCTAGGAAAGACGACAAGTGACTAGTTGACTTGGGGGCTGAAAAGTTTGAAGCTCGGGATGTTTTGAACCTCAAAAAGTTTTAAAGTTAGGTAAATTGGGAGGTAAAAAGATTGATCTCAATTTTTGTTGCAGAGAGATTTAATTATACAAAAAAATTTTGTTGAATAAAATTAAATTAAAAAGATAATTAATTTAAGAGTTTATTAAGATAAAATTAAATAAAAAGATAATTAGGAGTTTGTTAAAATATTTTATACTAACGATGTATTGAGTGATTATTATTTGATTTTTAAAATTTTTATTTCTTAAAATAAGATTAAGATTTTATGACAAAATATAAATAGATCATTATAAATCTCGTTAAAATATGTAATAATCAACAAATTTTCAAAATTCTTTGTTATCATAACCCTCACCATAACATTAAAATGTAACTACTCCAGTATGTTTTCTGCGTTTTCCATTTATAATAGCTTCTTTTTTTCTTCAATGACAAAAAAAAAAAACTATTATGGATACATTTAGCCTAATATTTAACAAGATTCAACACAACCACTACCATTAGAATCCCAAAATGTGTTTCATAAAGAGCTAAAAGTATTAGGTATGATAACAATTACTTTCTTTTCCATTTTTGTGGGGTAGAAAGATAGGAAAAACGGGGAAGATGTTCGATCTAGCATTCTATTCTGGATGATAAAGGTTATGATTGCAAACGTTCATCAACGATAAAACGTTTGAGTCACACGCATGAATCAGAAGAAGAACTCTACTATTGTGCCTGATTTCATTCCTTTTGTGGAGAGTTTGTGCATTTATAACTTTCGGAAGTGTTAATGTCAAAATATTCTAATATCGATAAACTCAACAAAAACATTAAATTTGTATTCCGAGATTAATGACATTGAAGTTTATTTATATATTAAAAATGGTTAATTGTATCTTCTTTATCAGTAGTTGTCCTTGGATCTAGGTATTTTTAACTGGGGAACTTAGACTCCAAGATATTTTCATAACTTGAAAATGTCCCCACTTATCTCAATACGTTACAAGATTAGTTATTTTCACGTATCTATAAATATCGAACTTACGTGAAAGAACTTACCAGATGCATAAGCCTCTGTGACATGACTTAGACTAGAATACAATCTAGGATAAATACTGATCCCTACAAAAGCTTAAACCTATATTTAAATTCTAAGGAGATATGACAAAACACTTACATAAGAAAAGAAATCAAAAGTTTACCATTTTAAACCATCACAAATAAATGAATGTAACTTTAACTAATTACCTTGTCTGTCAACTTATGAAATAAAAAGGAAAATCTTTATGTAAAATATTGTTGATATTAGTATTGTAATAAGAAATGTGATATTTTTTTGTTTATTTCGCTAAAATAAGGAGAAATAAATCGATGAAGAAAAATAAAATAAAATTCGAAGACCAAGACAGAGGGCTAAGCGTCAATATTTTAGACAAAAAGATTATATGAATGAGCGACTCTTGATTTTCTTTAAGGGCAACTAGTGCTGGAAAGGAATTCTCAATGTTCTATCTACCCTTGTGTTTTTTCTCTATTCAAAGACACTAGCAAGTAACACACCGCGTTATTGATAGAAAGAAAGCGAGAACTATTTGGAAGGATTCTGATGAGAAGATCTCTAGCTCTTCAGATTTGCATATTTTCTGGTATGGGAACATGAGATGTCTTATGTTTTTAACAGTCATTGTTAATAAATTTGTTAAATATCAACTGATCATGATATATATATAGTAAGACAAAACCAATTAATATTAAACAGGAAACTTAATAAAGTGATTCCTTTGCGTTGAATTATGTTACAAATGTTAAAGTTTTATAAATTTAACCATTGCGTTGAATGTTTTCATGAGTTAACAAAATTTTATATAATTTAAACATTAATTGATATACTGTCTCACTAGTAAATGGAGTAAATTTTTATCCAAATTATCAGAAGGGAAGAAAACTAATAAGTTTTTAATTGGTGTTTACGGATCCAATTTGGGTTTAGGAAAAAAGTGCAAAACAGATAAATTGAACCAAGATGGTTGAATCAGTTCAATTCAGCACATTATCCTGTTAACTTCTTGAGATGCCACAAGGAAATGTAGCCTCCATACAGGTCTAATTCAACTACTGATTTATTTAGAATTTTCCGAAGTATTATAATACGTATAATGCAACCACAAACAATCTCGACAATAGCAAATATTACAACCTACTAAACAAATAATAGTACCAACAACCAGGCCAATAAGAAAACCCACCTGGTCTATACTTGAATAAAATCTCTGCTTATCTAGAAAAAGAACATGCTATTTCCTTACACCGGGCGTAAAAGCTAAAGCGCAGACATGATCAACTATATGATTGAACTTGTTAGTCAGATTTTGTAATCAATAGTCCAAAGACAGCAAAGAAATAAGAAGTTCAAAAAGCTCGTTTCACTTGCATCGGATGACAAGCAGATTATAGCTGGTAGAAATCTGCCTTATATGTTTGATAACCAGAGAAGCTTTAGTTTAATGAAATGAGCTAGCTCACATGACTTGACACTTGATACTCAATCACTGGGGCATGCTTCCTTCTTCTAAAAGCAGAGTGATGATTGATTTAATGATCTCATTATTCAGACCAGTTGCGCTCTGAAAGCAAACACAAACCCAAGTTATTATCTCCTGTTGAAAGCAGTCACATGTAGCTACGGTATTATTACAACAGATAGCATATCGCGTCAACAACGCATCTCAGATTGATAGAACACGTAAGATGCTAACGATAATTAAGTTCTAAAATTAGCTCAAAATTCAGGGAATTGGGGGAAACGGTAGACACTGATAAAACTCGTTGCATTTTGATTATGTGACTGGTGAATAGAAGCTTGAATTTCAAATATAACTGAAACAATTATGAGCTTACAGTAGAATGAGAAGCATCACAAATAACAGAACTGATTCGAGAAACAGGTTAGCCAGACTGTTGAGACATGCGTGATTTATCTTCATGATATCATGGGATATTTGTTTTCCTATTTTCAGTTATTTTCTTTTTTAATCTTTTATCCTTTAAAAAGGGAGTACATTCAACACAATTAATATACAAATTCTTTTTCTTTCAATTCAGACTATCCAGTTTTAGCATAAGATTCCAGGTATGCAAATTAAGCTATGAGAAAGTGTTTTGCAAATGGAGTTATGACATATGAAAGTATTTGGACTACCCAGTTCTTCTCACGTTGTTCCATGAGCTTGACTATTCTTTGTAAAGTGATTTCATATTGACTTTTAGGTTCCTCTCACGTCAGTAGTGATTGGGAGGATTGAGTTTTCGGTCAAACTAGATATGACAAGCATCTCAGTCGCCAATTTTCTTTTGAGATCCATGGTGGCACTTGAGTCGATGTCTTCATTGTCCATAGAGAAATAATCTTTTGTCACAGGTTAGATCGTTCACTCCATACTATGTGGAAAAGTAAATAAATTTCATTGATACATAACTCATACAATCAGGAGGTATAAATAGGAATAGGAGAGTAGTTATGCACACTAATCTGGCCTAAATATCAGGAACAAAATTATTCCTATAACTGCTGTAGCTAAGAGGAGAGACAGATCCTAATTACATCAAATTCTTTTATTAACAGCATATCTTAGACCACATTAATTCTGATTGATTTTTCATGTATCCAATCTTGTGATTCTGATTTCTTTCCTTAATTCCCAACAATATCATATTGGCATTAATTCCAAATCATTTCAATTCCAAATCTGAAATAATTCCAAATAAAATTTGAACACATTTTATTTGCTTATCTTAAGTTCTTCTATTGATTTGATCGTGTGTTTCTACGTAGTACATATACGTTAATAAGTGGTTAGGGTGAGCCTATTCAATTGGTGTTGTTAAAATCAAACTTAAACTCCTTTTATAGGTGGAAGGTAAACAGAATTTTGACCATTAAACTTCATTAGTAAAAAAATGCTTAAGAATTTGAGCCACCCATCACAAAATATCATTAATTACGGAAATAAAGATCAAGATGGCACCTCTGGCTTTCTAATCAACTCTTTCAGAATGGAATGGAGTGCTAATCGCAGCTCCTTGAACAAGACAGCTACTTGGGCAGGTGCAGTCAATTTCAACCATCCATCAATTGTGACCTGACCAGTCTATCACAGAAAGTAAAGAAAATTAAAAATAAGAAATAAAAAGTACATCAGAGAGAGCAGTTTTAAACAATCTAAGCAAAATACCTGTTCCCATTAGGAAAATACTTATTGTTTGAAGCATCTCTTTGATTCACCTAACTTCCGTTGCACATACTAAATGACCCTCAAGACATTATTTTAAATTCATAAGAAATGTTTCTAACTAACCCAAGCACTTGAGAACCCACTCCTTAAAGCTAAGTATTAAGGGGGAAGAATCAAGAATTTTGAATACTCCACCAAACATGGCATACTATTCAATGTAGGACTTATGTGTTTCATAACCCAATCCCTATCAGTTTGCTATTCAATTAGGAAATGGGTGAAAACTAGAATATTTTTAAACTATTTGACAAATTATTATTTCAAATGTACAATTACCTTTGAATCAAATGTCAACTTAAAATGACTTAAGTAGGAAACTTTAGCACTAGATGTGAATGATAGCAAAGTCCCCTAACTATCCAACTACAAAAATTTCAATAAATTAGTACATTTTTCTATTATCAACCAATTAAGAATATCTTATAAAATTGTCCTTTACTCCATGATAATTGCATAAATTAAACGTTACAACAGATCCTTAAGTTCATGTTTGTGTTTAATGCATATTGGCAGACAACACAAGTGTTAATGCACAGTTGTAAAAAATACAAATTTACTATATTGTTTGTTTAACAGGATAAAATTTCTTTAATTATTTCAATATTTATCTTTCAAATATTCACTTATTGTATTAATAATGATAGCATAATTCTATATAATTTAATATACCACACAATTATAAATAAAAATATAATTCTAATTAATATACAATATAATTCTAAAGAATTGAGTTATGATTCAATTTGGTTTCATTCTTAAGAATATCCAGATAGATTAAACTAATATATTTTATAAAATATTGAAGATGCTTATTTCTGCTCTTCCACTATTGGCTTCATCGTCCATGGTATAAGGGGTTAGCAAGTTGTAGAACCCTTGATTTCCAGCAACCATGAGCACCAGCCAAGATAATCCCCATGCCCAATTTCATTTTTTCATGCAACATAATTCAAGTTTCATTTTGGGAACTCAGAATTTCAACTATCTTTAATTATTCAAATTTCACATTTGCTTCCTCTGAAAATCTCCATCTTCCAGTAAAATCTCTAACATTTTCCTCCCGCAATATCTTCAATATCTTCATCGTTACATAGTGTTGTTAAATACACAGCATAACTATTTCCTCCTAAAATTTAGTCCAGTTTCCATTGACTAAACCAGTGTTATCAAAAAACAGCCATGGCGAAAATCAGTTCTGAATTTTTCACCAGCCACCATAGCATGGCAGTGGCGATGCAAGTTTTCCATTGTGGCCACTTTTGACGTCGCAGAATGGTGCTGTGATCTGTAGTGGCGGAAATCGCAGCTCAGTCTTATGCCGCAGCCCTGTGCCTCCTTAAAGGAAGAAGAAGAAAAACTCAGGGCAAACTGACCAAACCAAGCACAAAAGAACCCTAATTTTTTTAAAATTAATTTGGGTTGTTTAACCCAGCAAAGAAACCCTAATTTTTGACTATTACTTCCTCCAACCCCATCATAATTTTGCAAAAGACATTTTGCCCCTATACTATATTTCAATGGTCAGACTTCTTCTTCCTTTCATTCTCCATTTTGCTACTTCTGGCATCCTCCTTTGCTGCAAGGGTGTGGTTGTTTCAACATCGGAAGGTGCAATTTATAAACAATCTGAATAGTGTAATCCGTAACATGAGGGAAATATGGTCTTGGATTGTTATCTGGAAAATTTCCAGAAAAAGTAACTCGGATAACAAATTATTTATCAATCCAGAACTTCTTGCCTGAAACACAGCAGAATGATCTCCGAATTATGCAATCTGGAAAAATATTATTTCAGTAAATGCTTTCTGGAATGGGTTATTTTGCAGACTCCAAAGATTCTATGGATGAGTTTATGATGCATCAGATTTTCATTGACTTGTTTACCTTGTCCTCGAGCATTTTAATCAAGTACGAACAAACTGTTATGTAGGCTCGAGTTCACTAACAGGCTATATATATCAAATCTAAAATTACTGTACTATTCAATTTCTGATGGGTGAACTATTTTACCGATGCAGAAATACAATGTGGTTCGAGGCATCTTTCATGGCTCCTTGTCTAGCCCAATTATTGAAGTGGCGCTATTTCCCATTTATGAAAGTGGGTTCGGATTTTGAGAGTATGGGAATCGAGAAGATGCAGGCTTGGTAAAGTTTAAGCTGAAGTTCTTGTGGATACAAATGTAGAGAGGGGTTTTGAGTTTGTGGCACACCCATCACCAATTCACCACACCCTCTCCTCTTTCCTAATACTCACAAACCTTGTGCCGCTGCCACATTCAGCACAGATGCAGCCAAAACATTTCAATACAACCACATCTAAACCATGAAACATTTCACATACCTACGTGTCTCAAATAAGTTCCTCACCTAGTTTCCCCTTATAAGCATGATTACTCCACATTTTCATACATGCAAGAAGGGCACCAATCCTGGAGTATTTCGATTCATCAATCCATCAGTATTCCAAATCCAACAATTCAAAAATATTTTGGAATTACCAATTTGAAATTTTTTCGGACCCTTAGTCCATAACATTCTGAAATATATGTCCGGATTACCAGTTCCATAAATTTTTCAGAAATATTGTTCTGGAACCTATTTTCTTCTCAACACGTAAGGGTGGTGTTGTCTTTCTACAAAATATGGCATGGAGGAAGCAATTGCCTAATTTTTTTTATGAAACATATGTAGGTTCTTTCTTCTAATCCCAATAGTTTTAAAAGAAAGGTTCATTCTTCCATTGCCTATAGTTTCATCCTGCACCTCCTACTTATCATAATTGATAATATTACCCTTGTGTATTTGACGAAATTGGCAATCCAGCAAAATATTTTGGAATATCCCGATGGGTGAATATGAGAAAATTTTAGATAAATTGATCCGGAATATATAATATATTTTTTAGTTCCGGATTAAACAATATTTTTTTTTGGTTCCAGATTAAATAATCCAGATTGTAAAAAATTATATTGTTCAAGTTACGGTGAATCTGCAAATTTTTTTGGATTTATAAATCCGGAAGTGTTTATAAAAAAAACTTAGTGAGGAAGTTTTCCAGATTAGAAGTAGGAGGAGAGGAGGCCAACGACGGTGGTGGTAGCGTGGAGCTGCTCGTCTGTGCGGAGGGCTGAGGCGTGGGCACATCTCCGGAGAAGAGAACAGAAGAAAAGAGAACAGTGGTGTGTGATGAGTGAATGTGGCTATCCGGAAGCTGAATTTATTTTATTAACCGTTATTCCGATCCTCTAATCCGGAAATTGTTATAACAGTTCCGAATTCATCAATCTGTAAATTTTTCGGATTCACCAATCGGATAATCCTAAATACTTTCCTGAATTATCAATTTCGTCAAATTCAGGGTGTAGGAATAATGAGCCTAAAAAAAAAAAAAAAAGTTGGATTGTACAATCCGACCCAAACCCAATCCAAAATTAAAAAGAAAAAAACTAAGCTGACCCGTCTCCCAAAGAGCAATCCAATTCAGCTAACCATAGTCCTGCAGCCAGCCATCAGTTGCTCTACCACCTGATGTGAACTGTTCCTCCGCCGCAGGCGACCAGTTTTGCCGCAGCCTGCAGCGTTTTCCGTCACCATTAACTCCCTGCAGCATCGCCAGGGCATGCGATTAGTTCTGCCGCCGCCTACGGCGTTTTCCGTCACCAGTAACTCGTTGCAGTACTGCATGCAACCAGTGCTGCCGCCGCCTGTAACGTTTTCCGTCACCATCTACTCTCTGCACTCCACTATCGAACCACTACATGGCCAGCGGCTCTCCCTTTTCTCTCAATGCACTCCCTCAGCCCATCTCGCTATGTTTTCATTTTATTTCATTTTCTATTTCCTCGTGGGTAGGTAGTACTCTTATTCTGCACTCCCCTTTTTTTTTACCCTTCTTTTCTACTCAATACTCTTTCTTTATAATACTGAACCTGAATATCTATGTTCCACCATCCCAATGGCAATTCAGCATGCAGTGCAACTCGGTTGTGATTTGCTTTGAAAATATTGTTTTTGAATTTTTAAACTTATTATTATTAATTGTATGATTGTTTCAAACTTATATTTCTGCATTTCTTTTATCTCTCTCTCTCTCTCTCTCTCTCTCTCTATATATATATATATATATATATATATATATGTTTAATTTCTTTTGTCCGCACTCCGTCAACCATAACCCGTTATAAGTTCCCACATTTTCTTTAAAGGATTTTTGGGTTTAAGATATTTTCCGTGTTATCCGATGATATCGTAGCACTTGACTAAACATCATTTGTGGGGAAAAGAGTAAAATGTACCTGATGCAGGACATTGATTGACCCTCCGAACAGCAAAATAGAATATGGTGATATGACTGAAGTATCTCGAAGAAATACTTTGTTTGTTTCAACCTGATAATTTCAACAATAAACAATAATTTAACTGCAAGTAATTCCGCAAGAACAGACATAATTCATGCAGAATGATATGAATGAAAACTAGTGCATTACAAAACCTAAGAATATTTTAAAGATTAGAATAAGAACTGTGTGAAACATGAGTGGCTAATAAGTCATATAAAAAATAGTGTCCCAGAAGAAATTTGATGCTAAAAAGAATTAATAAACTTCTGCAGAAAAACTATCAGCAAACCTTTTCAAGGAACACAAGAAAGGGGTACTGGAATCCTTTTGAGTTACTGTTGATAGAAGAAGGGTGAATCTGAACCTCTCTTCTTCCATCAAACCAGACTGTACGACCAGAATTTGCAGAGCTAGAAGACTGCTTAAGGCTGCTGAGAGCTGCTGCAACAATGCCTTGTTCACCAGCAGCTACATTGGGATATAAACCTGCACATAGTATAGCCTGCAGGAGTGCACATAGAGATCTTGTTATGCAAAAAGAATGGAGGTGATCAGGGTTGTCAAACTCCAGAACTAAATTAAACTGGTGGAACATTTTAAGCTCACAAAAAATCTAATATAAAATAATATTTAGAAATATAAGTGCCATACATGCATGAAACACAATAATAACTTAACATTACAATTCTATAATAAAGAAGAGGCTTCAATCCACTTTTGATCCCAATCATAGTTAATAATAATAATAATAATAATAATAATAATAATAATAATAATAAAAAGACCTAGAGATTGAAACATATTCAGGTTAACTTTAATAATCTAAGAGATCCAAAACCCAAACAGCATCAGAATTGCTGCCGGAATTGTTGCTGGAAGCTCTGCTGGAATCAATGCAAGAGATGTATCTCTTAGAAACTGGATTTTAAACCCAACTCGATTTTATAAAACCGATTTATAAGTGAGGTTTGAACCCACTTATATTTTTTAATTTGACAATAGCTCTAGTTGATTTGGGATTTCCTAAACACCCCTGGACATCTCGAGCGTGGCCCAACAAACCTTGTTATAGATAGATTTGATACCATCTTAGAAAGTAGACTTGCATCTTAACTCAATTGTACAAAATTAACTTGTAAGTTGTACCATAAGGTTATATAATCTAATTTAGCCAAATCTTCAGTCAATGTAAGATCTTCAACAATATCTTTAGTCACCAGATATTGAGAGGGAGATGAAAGGTCTGATGGACTAAATGGTGGGAGAGAGCTCACTTGCATGTGAGTTATAAAGCGTAATGAGAAAGAAACTAAAATGAGAAGTTTCATAACAAGTTTTACTTCATGGCAACGTTCCCCCACGCTTAGGCAGATGCAAGCCTAACAAATTATTACCAAGGTTATCAAATTCAAAAGAATATAAACTCGTGACAAAAAAAATACTCAGAATGTGACGCCAACCGAAGAGCAAAAAAATGTTCAAAAGGCACAAAAACTGCCAAGAGAAAAATGCTCAAAGATAAAAACGGTTACCAAAGTGCAAGAAGTATTATAATGGGTATTGATAAGATATTGAATAGATTACTTATAGTTGTACGTTGTGCACTCACAAGTAAGCTTATTTACAATGAAGAAAAAAATACAATAATAAGGAATGTTAAATGTTTTTTATATATGGGCCCTAGGCCCATCTCTATGTAATGCAATGTACATTAGCAATGTACATTAGATATCTGCTCCTTTGTTGTGTTTGAGACACAAGGATTCCTTTACATGATTCTCTATCATTTACTTCAACAAGGAACAAAATCAATAATTAATATCTAGAAATATTATATTTCCCTATTCAATTTAATCAAAACATATAATATATTCCTATTTAATTAATCAAATAATATATTTAACAAGCAGAAATGAATTGAGGTTTGACAATGTTATGATAGATTATCATTGCTGAAGAATAGAATTTTCACAAATGCTAATCTTGTAGGTAGCACTTGTGTGACTAGCACGAATAACAACATTGAAGAATTTTCTATAATTAAAGCCTTGTTGTATTTGGGTATCGTAGGAAATCTGTCAAGGTTATTCAGGTCAATTGGAGACCTCCGATCAATATTTGGGTTAAATGTTACACTGATGGATAGCTAGAGGCTTTCCTAGATCAGCTGCTTGTGGTGGAATTTTCAGAAATAACATGCTACTGTTTTTCGGATGCTTTTCATGCTAAAACTATGGTGCAATTTTGGCCATCGAATTTTCTTTTAGTAGAGGGTGTCAATGAGGGATTTTATTATTTTGTTAATACGCGTTGTATATATTTTGAATAAATATCTACTTATTCATTGTAGAAAATTGTTTTCCTGATTTAGATTTAATAAATTACTAAAGAGAATTATTGCGTATTCATTATTGTCAAAGTGTTTGTTACCATTTATAGACAAGAGCAAAATCAATGAAATGGTATCAATCCTGGTTGTCCAACTTATGATGCCGTCAGTGACATCATCCGTAGTCGCTTTTGTCTTTGTCTTCTTGGTGGATCCTAGTTTGGGGGTTTCGTGCTTGGCGTTTTTGGCTCATGGATTTCTCTACTTTTTTCTCAGTTACTGTCTCATCGCTAAAAAAAAGTTTTACCTTCCGCTTTAACGGGAAAAACTGTCCTGCTTAGGCATTTCAATTCCAACATATTTGTGAAAGGAAAAGGTTGTTCGATCATCTTCATGGGTCTTTTCCTGCATCCAAGGCCCAGGCTGCTATGATTACTAAGAAAACCAAGGACGCACAAATTATTTCATGGATTCTTGTCCATAATGTGCGCTCCTTTTTAACTACTACGGACATGTGGGGTTACTTATAGCAAATTTACAACCGGAAGCATCCAGATGCTTTCAGCTTGAGATTGGCATTGCCAATTATCAACAAGGATCTGTCTGTTCAAGACTATTACTCTGGTTTCTGAATTTGTGGCAGAACATTCTTCCATTTTACACGTTGATATCCCTACGAAGTCCTTACATGCTATTCAACATATTTATGAGGTCCGCATATGCGATAAATTTCTTATGAAACTTAGCCTGGATTAGAATACGATTTATAGACATTATATCATGTATTTATTGTCATTAACTTGTGTAAGATGGACTCTGTTGTGTAGTCCATACAGACAGTTTTCAGCTTCTCTTCCATCTATTTTGCGCTATTTGAGCATAAATAATAGAAAGTAAAAACGAATGTAGAGAATATCAATTCAAAGATTAAGAAATCAAGAAGCAAGCATTACCTAAAAAATTGTAATCATGTTAATATGCAAACTTTACCTTGATAACTGTCGAATGATGTGCATATATATTAAATGGTTGTGACGCATCAGAAAGCCAATTGTCAAGACTCCCTATCTTCTTTCCATGCTTCTGAAATGATTCAAACTATGTATCAGAATTTTTTGCACACAAACAGGGCACTCTCAATCTAAAAATTAATTTTTACAACACTTAACTAGCATTGATAACATAAGCAGACATGTCGCATAATTAAAATTGTTCAGTTGAAATCGGATTCAAAACAGTACATACTTGAGATATATTTCAAGGATTTTTATTTAAATACTTGTGATATATTTTAATTCTCATGTGTTATGTTAAGAACTTTTCAAGAATCTAGGAGAGTCTTGATAAAGTTTAGAAAAAGGGCACAGTAATCAAAATTCTTCATGATTCCAGACAATTCAGCAAAAATTTGACACCCCAGTGCCATAATTTCCTATTTGTCAAATTGATGCTTGTAGACTTCTAACAAATGTCAATAGAAATAATGAAAAATTCTCTAGACTTTAAATCAGATGTGTATATATGGATAAATGTATATGTCAACTAAATATTATTTTGGGTTGCAAAACGTCCACTTTTAATTAAAAAGTACATATGGGATCATTCTCCAGCACAAGGACATTGTTTTCTGCCTTTCATTTTTCTGTAGACAATTTATAAGTTGTAAGGATTTGTTTTAGTTATAATCTATAATTTGATTGAAATCATTGTAAATCCTCTAAATAAAGTAATCATAGTTTATATACAAAGGTCCTATCTCTAATTTAGGAAACAAATATCTCCTTGCTCTAAACTATAATTGCTTTATTTAGAGGATATATAGTGATTATAATATGTTAAGAAGAGAGAAATTGAGAACACATGATTATAATATGTTAAGAAGATAGAAATTCAGAAGGCATATGTTTAATTTTGTCTGGGTAGACCATATCAGAGCTATGCCATTTTTAAGGTAGAGAACATAATTATAGTGCATTTAGTTACCCTATTTAAGGCTAATAACATAAATATAGAATCAATGTAATTGATCCTAATAACATCAATTGAACTTAATAATCAGTAATATTTATATAGGATTCTAACATATTTTAAAGATTCTAACACTCCCCACAAGCTAGAACACCAAGTAGAAAGACATTCTTTATGCCAATTCATAAGGGGGTAACTGATGAATGACAACATGAACAGTAATAGTCACATGAAAGACATTTTAGAAATTGAAGAACACGTATTGTTATAATCCGACCCAAAGATCTGAATGGTCTTTTGTGACAAGATGAGCCTTAGGCTGATTAACCTTACCATGTAGACCACATATAGCCATCAACAACCAACAATGGACTTACCATGTGGTATAGGAATGAAACCCCAAGTCCCATTGCTATGTAATGCACACATCTCGTCTATAATAGTTTTTTTGCATCTTCGATTGGCAAAGGGTTCACTTGCATTCTTAGGAACAAAAACAAGGACTAGGGATGACAATTAAACCCGTACCCGTGGGAACCGACCCGTCCCCGCCCGAGTTTGACCGGGAAAACCTGAGTTGACCGGAGGCGGGCGGGTACAAATTTTCCCGCTTTAAAAGTCGGGGCGGGGATGGGTAATGCAATCCCCACCCCGACCTCGTCCCCGCCCCGACTTTATATTTAAATTTAAATTTTAAAATATTAATATTTTAAAAGTATTTCATTTTCTTTTTCTATTACATATAAGGTTATTTTTTTATATTTCACCAATTTTTTTTTTCTACCCACTTTTTAATTTTTTTTTTTGTCTTTTTTAATCTTTTATATCAATTAATTCATTACATTATTCTTTCTCATACCTTTCAATTTTTCACATTTCCTTAATCTCTCCCATCAATTTGTTTTTTTTTTCCAATCTGTTCAACCAATTTGATGAACACAAAGTTAATTTTTTTTATTCTTTATTTATTCTTTATCTTTTTCTAAATATTTTACATAAATCTTAGTAGTAACTAATATTATTTTATTTATAATTTATATTTATTAAGTTTTATTATGTCATATTTTTTTATTTTATTATTCTTATTTATCATATATCAATTTTTATCCTAAGAAAATAATTGTATTTTAAAGGATTAGAAGAATTGATAATTTAAACTTTTATTACTTCGAACTAATTGAATAAGAATTAACTTATTAAATATTTCCTTATAAATTATATATTTCATATTTTTAAATGACAACTTAAAAATGAATTAACTTTTATATATATATATATATATATATATATATATATATATATATAATCAAATGTTTGAATACAAGTATTATAATAATAATGTTATAAATATTCAAATACTTGAATATAGTGTTATAATAATAATAATGTTATAAATAAAAATGATTAAATATTTCTTTTACATACGTACTTTAATATAAATATAATAAATTAAAATGTATATTTAATTAATAATAATTATAAATTATAAAATTATAAATATTTATTTATATATAAAAAATAGATAGTAAAATTAATTTATTATAAATGTAATTATCTTTTTAAAAATAATATAAATCGGGGATGGGACTGGGCGGGGACGGGGATGATTAAAAAGTCGGGGCGGGGATCGGGAGGCAAAATCTGCCCCCGCCCGTTGCCATGCCTAACAAGGACAAGGAAAAATGTCAAGAGTAGTAGGAAGGAGAAATATGATGATAACTCAAAGAAGTATAATAAGGAGAAGGGTTATGAGTAGAACATACACCTTTCTGAAGAGAAATGGGAATTTCAAACTTTGAAAGCAGGACTAAAGGGTAATGTGAAGGAGTGGATGTTAGAGGTGAGTTTGTTATGTTGTTGGTGCTATGGGATAGCAATATAAGATGAGTACGATGTTGATAAACCTACAAGGATGGACGAAATGGATTATGAGGGGAACGAGGCTTTTCTAGAGGATAAAAATTGAACAAGATAGGTGAAGGTGTGGAAGGAGTGGAAGGAGATGTGTAGCAGAAAATGACATCAATAAAAATGAAAAACCAATGAAGGGTAGATGAATAACACTTATGCCTTTTTTGGGATTGTGCATATCCAAGGAAACCACACTTGTGAGACCAGGTAGAGAGTTTGTCAAACCAATATCGAGAGCATGAGTAAAACACGTAAAACCAAAACCCTAAGATAGTAAAGGATAAAAAGGGTGGTGAGGATATAGAACATGATGAGGAATTTTACATTTCAAGATAACAAAAGGCATGCAATTGATGAGATGTTACATTTCAACTACCCTATTTTGTTAGGGGATATGAGAACAAATTGAGTAAATAGATAGTCACATGCTTTATCACTTTGTGAAAAGGACTCAAGAATAGAAAATAATTTTGAACAATCCTTCATTAAATATAACTAAGTACAATGAGATAAATCATTCATAAATTGAGTAGTAGAATTGATAATCCCACAAAGTTCTGCATCAATTTTACTTCATTTAGGTCAGTCAATTTTAGCCACAATTTCTCTGTTAGTAGTGATATGGTCAAGATAACCTTGATATCCTTGAGCCAAAGTGTGATGCTAAGGCCAATGAATCATAATTACAACCATCTTACTTATAAGTAGATACTAGGGTAGTAACAAAGTACGTGAAAATAGTCACATCAGGTTTCTTGGTCGTTATGGATACAATAACCAACCAACCAAACAGAGAACAGCCAGCCAATAGAGAATAGCTCGTCAAATAGTGAAGAAATGGATGAAGGATCATAGATCTAGAACCAACAAAGCCGGGTAAGTGTGCTGGAAAAAAGGAGATCTATCAGGAAGTCTTTTCTAAGTGTCACCTATCACGATTAGTAATGGTGAACAAGAACACCACCAACAAATTGTAATGGCAAAAAAAGAAGTGAAAAAAGTGTTTATAGTATCTAAGATTTTAACACCTTTAAGCAGTGGGCCTACACGAAAAGAATTGATTAGGGTTCCTTTCTTGTTACCATGTTGAGAAAAAAGAGAATCTAAGAAGGAATATGATGAATTTTGGGTGTTTAGACCACAACAAAGTTATTCAATTTGTAAAGGAGAGAACATAATTACAAAATATTTAGTTATCCAGATTAGATTTTCCTTCTTGTTAGACTCTTAATACCATGTTGAGAAGAGAGAAACCAATGCATATGTTGAATTTTGTGTGTTTACACCACAACAAATCTATTCAATTTATAGGAGAGAGAACATAATGAGAAAATGTTCAGTTATCCTACTTGACGTTAATAACATAAATATGGTATCAATCTAATTAATCCCAGTATCACCAACTGAACTTACTATCATCAATTATTATATCATAGGATTCTAACATATATACAAGATTCTAATGCATGAGTGCCAAAAAGAAGTTAAAAGAAGCTAAAATGTTTTAAATTTCATTATTGTGAAAAAATGCAAATATGTTGCACATCTTTGGTATCTATATCCTAAGAAAAGCGACACAACTAGTACCCAAAATATCTTAATGAACAACATTAGAACAATGCATAGGAAGGAACCCTGAACATGTTTTCAAATTTGGCATGACTCAATGAAGAGTTGTATTATCAGATAAGGAATAATTTCTTTAGTGTGCTAAGACTCAGACAATGGGACCATTATTAATTACTGTCCTATCACAAATAACTTTTAAACATAAGAATAACAGAGGTAGCATACCTGATAAGCTTTCGGAAGAGTAATGAGACCAATGTCTGCTAGCAAAGTTCCAAACTGTATCCTCATCTCCCTGACATATCAAATACACTAGCTGCTGAAAAGAGTTGGTATAAAATATAATTTAAAATGAGATTGAATTAACAAGACATGTGATGTTTGCTTCATGTAAATTAGTATGAAGGGTTGGAAGATCTAATAAAATAAATATCAACGACCCATAAATAAGCTACAGATTTCCTTAATGTATCCTCATCCATATCATAGCTTGTGGAGTTGGCTTTTCCACTTCATCAAGAATCCTACTGATCACTCTTTGCTTCCAATTATTTCGTTTGTTATAAATAGAAGATGGACTAATCAGGTCAGGACCATTATCCAATATGGTTCAGCAGAAATATGGTGTGGTTTAGATAGATTATCAATACATGAAGAATAGAATTTTTGCAGATGCTAATCTTGTAGTGCCAGTAGCATGAATAACAAAATAAAAGAATTTGCTACAATCAAAGCCTTTGCTGTATCTGGACAACCTATATCTGGACATTCTAGAAAATCGTACAAGGTTATTCAAGTCAGCTAGAGACCTTTAATCAATATTTCGGTTAAATATAACATTGGTAGGACAACTAGAGGATTCCCTGCTCGTAGAAATTTCAGAAAAATTGGCTACTGCTTCGTGATGATTTGCTGCTCCATTTGGCGTTAAGGACACTTTCTATATTGAAATTATGGGTGCAATTTTGGACATTGTCGTTTCTAACAGCAGAGGGTGGTTGCACTTTTGGATGGAATGTAATTCTATATAGGTGGTTAAAGCATTTTTTGATGTATCCTTGATTCCTTGGACATTAAGAAACAGGTAAAATATTGTCTTAAACTCATCAACCATATGAAATTTAGGGTTTCACACATTTAGAGAGGGAAATATTTATGCTGATAAACTTGCTGGACATGCGATTACTCTTCTGGATTGAATTTGGTGGGTGATATCCCATCTTATGTTAGGTATGACTTTTTGGAATCGTTTTGGACTGCCAAATATAGATTTTCTTCAGTTTTAGTGGATTTTTGGTGTGTAGCAAATCATTTATACAAGTTAGGGTGCCAACATGGTTAAGATTGCAGTGGTACCATCATTTTGTTTTGCTAATTCGTTATTAGACCATAACATCTTCCCTAAACACATTGGCCTCCACTTTGTCACTCAAACTATCTCCAAGGGTAAATAATACCCGATGCAAAATTTTTGTTATATGGCACCCGTTGTGCCCTCTGAGCATTTTCTGGCACCAGCGCACCCTTCAAGCACTTTTGGTCATTGACAATCACTACGGTCATTGAGCATGTTTGCTCTTTCGAATCCACATTATCCTGTTTGCATTTTAATAGTAGCCGCCATGCCTTCTAACCAACATCGCACTTCGACAAATGCCACGCTCTGCAAGTTTTTTGTTTTTTTTCTTAGCAGCAGCCACCATGCTCTCCAAACATTTTTTGCTATCTAGCAAAACTGTTGTAGCCTCTGATCTCTAATACAACTCAACAAAGTTGCCCTACTTTGGCAAGTACTTTGCTGCCTATCTCACAGTTAACTGTTGTGATGTTCCACCTGCTCCTCAGCATGTTATGTTCACATATCTGTACCAAATCAATGCGTGAAGCTTTGTCATTATGATTTTGTCAACTCCAGCAACTGATATTTGCACTAAGCTCAAGGGGCCTCAAGTTTATGACATTTTGTAACAAGTTTGACTCATGAAGCATATGCTTCAGAGGGATTGTTAAAGATATGATTTGATTACAATAAATAGTGAAATGTGATGTGAATTGATCATCAAATAGGTTAGCAAATGATATGATTTAATAACATCATTCACAACACACAATTAAAGCTTGATCATTGGTTCCCTTACTGCCTGACAATAAATTTAAGTCCAAGCTTGTCGAAAAAGGCTTTCATAAAAAAATATAATTTTCACCACTTTGACACATTTTCTCCAATTATCAAGCCCATTACTTATCAAGTTGTTCTTACCCTTGCCATCACACAAATGGTCCATAAAACAAGTTGATGTAGGGTGTTTTCTCGGAAGAAGATATCTATATGGTTCAACCCTTGGGTTTGAAGATGCAGATAAAACCCTTGTTTGCAAGCTGCAAAGAGGAAATGTTTGCTCAGTTTTTGTTTTGTTCAAAGCAAATGTGATCCATCTGTCCTTATTCTATCTAAGGTTGGCTGTTGTCTTTATATGTTAATGATATTATATTCACTCCTTCTTCCTCTCCTACTTTGGTGCAAAACTTGATTACCAAACTTAACACTGTATTTGCTTTAAAACAACTAGGTGACTTGTATCTTAGCATTTAGGAAAACGTCCTCAGGTTCCTGATGCAGTCCCTATACATAGGGCTGACATGGCTACTGTCAAAGGCATTTATACACCTCTGCCTGCAAATTTAAACCTGTTTCACTATGGATCTATTATTGGTGCCTTGCAGTACATCACCATTACTGTCAGTTCATGTCACAGCCTTTGCATTCCTACTGGTCTGTTGCTAAATGCATCCTTTGGTATCATCGTAGCAACAATGTTTTTTGTCTTGTTCTCCAGTTTGCCTCTTCTCAGCTGCCTCTCAGCTTGAATGCCTTCTCTGATGCTGATTGGGCATCTGATGTGGGTGACAGAAGAATGACCTCAGGAGCTTCTCTCTTTCTTTGGCAGAATCTCATTTCATAGTGGTCTAAAATGCAAACACTTGTTGCTAGATCATGAGCTGAAGCAAAATATAAAGCTTACCCTTGACAGCTTCTGAAGATAATTCGGTTGAATCCCTTCTCCAAGAGCTTAAGGTTTCAGTTTCTGATTCTATTACCTACAGCGACTCTTAGCGTTGTTGCTCTGTGTCACAATCCTCTGCTACACTCTCGAACCAAGCACATGGAGCTAGATACTTTTTGTATGGAAGAAGGTTCACAATAAGTCTCTCATTGTTGATCTTGTTCCTGCTCAAGAACAAGTTGCTGACATTAATACCAAGCCTCTTTCAAAGGCTTAGTTCAGCAATCCAAGACAAACTCAAAGTTCTCAGCTGCTCAAAGCACCCTATGTTTGTTGGGGATGCACAAGAGTATATGTGATTGTATATTAGCTAAGTATGTCAACTTCTGTTGCTAGCACTAGATTAGTCTTTGCCAGCCGTAGTTACCCAAGCTGTACTTAGTCGTCCAAGATGCCCATTCTGTTACAGGCATTTATAGAAACTTGTTCTAATCTCTAATATAAATATCTGACTCTCTTTGAGAGATTCAGTAAAACCTTAACAGAAAACTTTCTTCTCTTTTCATTCTCAGTTTCTATAATTGTACAGCACTCGACAACAAGATAAAAAATAGATGAAAGAATACCATGTGGTAGCTAAACATTCCTCCTTAAAGGGAAAAGGGGAGAAGTTATGAATACAGGAGAAAAAGTTGTAAACTAACCGCTTTAGTCGCTTGAGTGAGATGCAGATAAAAAGAAATAATACCTTATCATAAACATTACAGAGGTGCTCAAAAAAAATGAATTGCAGAATCTTTGTGCAGCTTTAGATCCTTTCTGCAGGTTTAAAATTATAAAACAATTAAATCTGTTCTCTGAAAGAACAGCACACTAAACAATAGTATGCACAAATGTGACAGTGTTTATGGATAAATGTACAGTATATATTCTTACAGCTTACAGTTAAGTATTTGATCCAAGTATGTTTTCCACCACACCCCCCCTCCCCAACCCCAAGAATAAATAATATACATTGGCAAATTAGTCATTTATTCTTATAGGGTTGCTTCATGTGTATTCTTAGTGTGAGCACTAGAAAAAGTAACAAAATAACTTATAATTAATCTAGTATGTGCCTCAACCAAGCCATGAAGGTAAAATTATGTAAAAGTTTTTGACGGGATGCATAAACAAAATTGCAAATACATACTGACCTCCGTCAGAATCCTCTCCCATCTTTTATATGCTGCCATCATCAGTAAGTGATCGGATTGCCTATCAATATCATTTGTGTTGCTAGGCCCGTCTAGCTTATCATTCAACAGTGTCAATTTTGCCCTTTCAACATTTTGCCTCTGAACATAGGCATAACAGTTTATTTAAACTCTAATATTAACTAAAGCTTGGGAAAATTTTGTGAAAGCGCAGATAGAAGACCTCATCCTTAGGATATACAAATGGAGACTTGTAACTCAGAAATGCAGCAACAGAAAGAATAGGAGACAAACAACCAAATATTGCACCATACAGCATCATCTGCAATGACAGAAACAATTCCATCAGCGGATAGTTCAGCATGCCTTAACTACATATTTGCCTCAACATCAATGAAGAAAAGAGCAGCATGGAAATGGGCGTAGCAAGCACCATATTTTCAGTAAATTTGATATATGGTATTATCATTTACCAGAAACAATATCAACTAAGGAGAAGAGCGTCTTACTTTAGCAGAAACAATAATTACAGACAAGAAATAAAAATTACAAGTGACTTGTTTAATTCAATTTAATGTGTTTTTTTGTATTATATTTATTGTTTTTATTTATATTATAATATCATATGTTACGCTTTATTTAGTTTGTTACATATTATGGCATAAAATGTTTTTATATCTTTTAATACTATATACTTGATATTATTTAGTTATTTATATTACACGTTTTGTTCATGCTTTATGTTCACTAATTTAATGCTTAATACAAAGCATTTGGAATGAAATTCAGGAGGTTGACGGTGGCAGCAAGAAAGAGTTGCCAGAGCCTTGTCTTGCACCAACAAAATAGGAGTGGCCACAAAGTAGCAAATTTCTCTAATTGGTCTTGCAAATGGCTCAGTGACGCCTACAAGAGCTAGGTACTCCGTGAAAAGTACAAGGCCATTCCACTCCACTCCCGCACTACTGAATACTATGGCTAATATGGTGTAACAAATGGGGAACTTAATAGTGTTTGCATAAATGAGACATGTTGTAGACAGAAATATTGTTTATATTTAGGTAAATAGTCTTGTGATAGAAAAGTGAGTATTCTGCCTGTACTACTACTGCAAGAGACTTCTGTAATTTGTTATCCATTATATTCACCTAGAGTCAGTTTTAACTGTGATAGCTGTTACCTGTAGGAAGTTGTAGATTCTGTAATTAGTCAAGGAAATAATTTTAACTATATTTTGAGGTTAATGTCAGTAAAAAGATAACTTCTCTTGGAAACAGAATAAATAACAATTCAGATTATACATCAGATGCCTCCCCTGTTTTTCCATAATGCCGTTTAATGTTATTATCTTTCTAAGCAGTTCAGTTAGCGTTTAGCTTAGTTCACTGTACCTTAAGATGCGATGTTTAATTATTCTTCTGAAAATAGTTCTTTAGTATTTTGTAATTATTCTAACAAATCAATCAATTTGCCGAGGGGAAAAATGCACTCAAGCACATTCACAAAAGTTCCTTTGGCGTTTCTCACACATACCTTTCTCTCATTTTCATGGAATCTTTATCATCTTAAAATGTGGAAAAACAGAAATGCATAATATAAATATTAACAAATTCTTAAGATATATAACAACACCATTGGAAAACATATTTTAAGTTTAAGCCTTTGAAGAAAAGAGAAAAGAAATTTGGTGAACACCTTCCCAATTAATACATCCACAGGAAGTTTTGCCAGATGATGCCCAAGAGGTGTCAACTCTTCATCCCCTTCAAGAGCACCGACCTAAAATTTTGATTTCCGTGACAGAAAACATATACAAAGATAAGAAAACATTTCGATCTATCTTATTTTATGGTGCTACAAACAGGTTAGTATTACACAAGTAATAATAGGACTGGGAACAAGTGTTTATGGAAAAAAAAAAATACCATCTTGAGAAAAGGAATATGAATTGCTATACAACAGTAAAGTAATACGGATCGCTGTACAATAAAGTTCTTTAATTTATCTAATAAACAGAAAAGAAACCAGAAACAAGCTAAATTTCTCTAAGAAATCTAGGTATGCAAAAGCATCATTATATAGATTGCAATCCCAACTATGTTGGCAACAAACTATATCAATCATTTGCAGCATACCTTAAATATATAAGGCACCTTAAAAACCTGCCACTCCTCATAGGATAAGAACAGGATCAGCACATACTGCATGCTGTACAAATAGAAAAGGACCTGTTTTGCTTTAAATTAAACCTATGTATTATTTATCAATGTCGGTTATTATTAAAATCAAACCTATAATTTATATAAATTGGAGGAAATCAGATTTATTAGCACATATAATGAAATAAGTGACAAAGTAAGAAAAGACCATAAAGCACCTCATACAACAAAGATATTGCTGAATCCATTGCTTCAACCTTGGGAGGTTCCAATGCCTGATTATGGAAATATATTGATGAAAACTGTCCAGATAATCTGATCCAGGATCATATTTTATCTTTAGAATAAAACAGCTTACTTCCAACAAAAATGGCTTTATATATCCAAGAGACAGTAACTTAATCTGAAGGCACAATTCAACTAATGGCATCCGAAGCATCTCTGGAACCTTGATAAGCAGAATATAGTAAGACAGGAAAATGAAGTATCTTAGAGGATGGTAAAACAAAAGATAAAATAGCATATTATCAATCTTAAAAAAGGGAATCAAAATAAAAACATCATAGCATTTCTGCAATTATACCGGGAAAAATATCAAATGAAAATTAAAACCAAAAAAGACCTTTGAGTGCATTTGGTTTGTTATTTTTTTTATGTACAGATATATTTAAAAGAGAAAATATTCATCAATTTCACTTTATTTACTGTTTTCAACGATATACAAAGGAAAATAGGAACAGATATTTATTTTGAAAAGGAGTATACTATCATGACAAAAGACAAACCAAATGCACCCTTGGGTACACTACACTTTGAACTTTTCAGCATTTCATATCAAATTATATACCTGATATGGACGCATGAGGTTTTCAAATCTATGACGAGTGTACAAGCAAAAGCAAATTCCAGGTTTTACACGTCCAGCTCTACCACGACGCTGCATTGCATTTGCTTGAGAAATCCAATCTTCTACCATGCTTGATAATTTCTAGTATCAATCATAAGACAATCAAACCATACCTATGAATACATTTATTTTACGCAATGGTCTCGTATTGGAAATAAATAAGAAACCATACCTTTTGAGGATTGTAGCGATTCTCTTTATGTTTTCCACAGTCAATTACATAAATAACATCATCTATTGTTATGCTTGTCTCTGCTATATTTGTTGCTATAACAACCTAGGTGAAAACAAGTAATATTTTTGAGATATTAGAATTGTTACAAGAGAGAACATAGATGCATATTGAGCATAGAATTCACCAAAAATGCATGCGTTGATATAGGCTTATTGCATTCATTACACATGACTAGAGGATCCTACAAGGGAGGAGGAACGGAGAAGCCATGGATCATTGCGGGATCACAATTTTATTCACTAAATTGATGGATTGTTCATCATGTCAATCCTATATACCTTTTTTGTGGGCTCAGACTTTTTTACCAAATAAGTTGACCCAACTCCTAAACCCTAAAAAACTACCTTTTTCCCCTCGGGACTCGTAATCGCATATTGGACTCAAATATCATCCTGCGCAACTCCACTTTGTTCGATTGCACATTCATCTTTGAAACTTCTCATCGTCACCAACCCTAGCAGCACTCCCTTAGTTGTTGCTAGCCATCACAATACATCAATCGCCATTTGCAGCCATCACAACACCTTCATCGTCATTGCCTGCCATTGCAACATTGGCTTTGTGGTCACCAGATATTAACAAGTTTTGGGTCATTGTTGCCAGCACAGTCACCCATGACAAGGCCCACTTCATCATCTTTGATGCTCAATTACCATCCCTTACAGTACTGTCATCATTGCTGGTCTTCACGAACAGAAACGCTTTGGATGTTACTGGATGTCCTGATATTTCTTCTCAGTGTTCTATTGTGCAATTTTTCTTCTTAATATTTATTTGTGTTCTTGCTGCCATTCAAATTTGGAGTGTAATGTTCTGTACAGAATTTGAAGAAAAAATTGGCATAAGGAGGTAGCAAACCTACTAAAGGTGGTTCAAGTGGTGATGCTAGAAGTGGAAGTGGTGTTGGATCAAGGCTGATGTTACAGGGAACCATTGTGTTTCAACTGATGGGAAAGCAAGAAATGTGATGTGCAACTATTGTGAGAAGGTATTATCAAGAGGAATTTAGTGATTGAAACATCATTTAGTAGGAGCATCGAAGGATGTTGAAGCATGTATATCAGTACCAAAAGATGTTTGGGAATTAGTGTTGGGTGTTGTTTCTCAGTTGCAGTAAAATTTGATCAAAAAGTCACAGTTCAAAGAAATATGAAGAGGGGAGTAGTATAGGTTATTCATATGAGGTTGGAAAAAGATAAAGGCAAGAAGAGTGTTACACTTCAGAAAGTACTTTCAAGCAACGGGGATTGAGCAATCAAAGTATTATCAATGACATTTTCAAGAGGATGCTTGACTTGGTTGCCAAACATGGTACCCAAAAATTAGGGTGAAACATTTAAAGCAACTAGTTGAAAAGACCAATTAAAAGGGGGTGTGTACTTTACTATTCTTAGATTTACTCTCCTTTGGGAAATCATTGATCAAAGATGAGACAACCAACTACATAGGGCTCATTATAATCCTGAATTTAAAGCTGAGTATGAAATGAAGTGTGGATGTATGATTGTTTAGATAGGTTGGTGGGAGACATTGTTGAGATATCTAACGTTGATGCTGGATTGAAGATTTCAAGAGCGGTGGGAAATCAAATAGTATTTTAGGAAATAATAAATTAGGAAATTTGTAATATGTACAGATTTGAACAATTAGGAACAATTCCATAAATCAAGGGATTCTAGAATAAAATAGAGTTATTATATTTCCTAAAATAACTTAGGTCTCCTGTATATATCTTGTATAATCTCTTTGTATTAAAATAATAAAATAAGATTTCATTTAATCTAATTTTCCAGAAGAGCAAATCTGGATTTTTTGGTAGTCTAATTGCTCAACGTACACTTCAAACCAAAACTCCAGCACAATGGTGCTAATCATATGGTGATGAACATCCAAAATTGCAAAGGTAGGTTTTGAGCTTAACATGTAATTCATCCGGTTGTGGGCATAATTGGAGTGCCTTTAAGAGGGTAAGAATTTGAATTTATGAAATGCATTTTTATAATAGTTTACTTATACCTAGTAAGCTAGTATCATGTGTTAATGTTACAATTAATTAGGTCCACGTCCACACCAAGAAAAGAAATCATTTACAGCAAAATACCATGAATGATATGGTGTTTGTGATGGCTAATTCAAGATTGAACAAGAAGAAGGATGTTAGAAAAGCAAATGATATTAATAATGATGATCTTGCTTTTGACGATGAATGGACTGTGGAGGAAGGTGAAGCTAATTCATATTTGGATGCTTTTAAAATAATGCTCAAACCCAAATTCTAATATGATATCATAGTCATTTACCTTATTATCCGCACATCAAGGCTAATAGTGTTGGTTGTCAGATGTATTGGAAAAATTCTAAATCTCACATCGATTAGAGATAGAGTCTGTGTCGAGACATGTTGTTCCTCTATTTTTTTGTATTCTCTGTGTATGTTCATTAGACTAGGGTTAAGGGTTTGGGCTAAGGCCTATATCCTCTCTATTGTATCTCTTTTATCTATAAATACAATGTAACAGTACCTTTTGACATTGTATTGAAACCCTAAATAAGTTTCTTAAGTTGTTATTAGAGCGGATACGATCTCTCACTGATTTCGGATCATCATTGTCATCTCCGGCCATCGTGGGCCGGCGTTCGCAACCGGCCACCATCTCAGTTTGGTCCGATGAAGGTGGGGTTTTGAACACCTCGAAGAGCATGACCTACGCCACCAATCGCTCATCCATCTGCGGCCCTACGCGCTGCCCTCCAGTGGTCGGAATCGAGGTCAATTACAACCAGTCGACTCGCCGGCGTCCTCCAAGTGCAGTGGTGCCCTTATTTTTCTGTTTTGAGAACTTTGGAAGCTAGGTCACGTGGGTACCCTATTGGTTAGGTTTATCCTTCATCTCTAATTCAGATAGATGACTTCATCTAGTGCTTTTTCTTTCTCTACTACTCCCACGATAACCCGTGCCAAACTCAACAGGAAAAATTATCTATCTTGGTCTGCATCAGTTGAACTATGGTTTCTAGGTCAAGGGTATCATGACCATTTGGAGAAAGATGTGAACTTTGTTTCTACCTCAAATAGGTCTCAATGATAGAAAATAGACTTTCAACTTTGTGCAATCCTATGGCAGTCTGTGGAACGTTAGGTTCTTAAGCTTCTTAGGTAATTCAAAACCTGCTCTTCTTTTTGGAAAAAGACTCAAGACATTTTTGCTGACGATATTCAGCATCTCTTTGATGCAACTCAAAGAGTGACGTCTCTCAAACAGACAAATCATGACATGATGTCTCACACTACAAAAGCTAGGGCTTTTTATGGAGGAATTAAAAAGGTTTCTTGTGACAAATACTTTAGAGGAGTTAAACTCCAAACTGGATAAGTTGTCTATGGTCCTAATTTAAAGGAGTCTGCACTGTGATTTTGATCATGTTCGTGATCAAATCATAGCTAGTGATCAAGTTTCGTCAATGGGTGTCACGAGGCTGATTCGAGTTCCCAATCATATGACAGATGAGAATCAAGTGGAGACAGTTGAAACTTCATCTATGGTTGCTAATCATGGTCAAGGGGAAGGACGTAATAGTCGAGCAGATTGTGGGAGTACAAAAGGTCGTCCTCAATGTTCCTATTGCAAGATGATGGGGCACACGCAAGAAAACTACTATTCCTTACACAGTTTAGGAATATTACTGCCCATGTCTCTAAGTCTGAAAAACCGGATATGAAGATCTCTCATGAGGAGTATCAAGAGTTTTTGAAGTTCAAATCAGGAAAATTCAAAAAACTATGTCAATCTTCTTCAATGCCTAGTGTTTCAACAACATGCATTTCTCAATCTGTGGAAGGTCAAAACCCATGGATTATTGATTCAGGTACCTCTGATCATGTATATAGTAATAGTTCCTCATTTTCCTCCATGTCCTATCCTAAAATTCCTCATCTAATTATTGTGGCTAATGGATCTAAAGTAAAGTCACAAGGATTTGGCCATATTCCTTTAACCCCTTCTTTGAATTTAAATTCTATTCTTTTCATTCCTAATTACCCTTATAACTTGATTTCTCAAAGTCAATTGACTCGTTCTCTGAATTGTTCTGTAACCTTTAACCCCAATTCTTCTGTTATTCAGGAACATGGTACAGGTCGTCTGATTGGAGAAGGACATGAATCACGTGGTTTGTACTATCTGAATCCAAGTCCTTCGGTGTCATGTCTTGCTTTTCATGCTCCTAAACTTATGTATAATCCTCTCGGTCACCCAAGTTTATCTAAGTTGAAAGTGATGGCTTCTAATATGATATCAGAGTCATTTACCTTATTATCCACACATCATAGCTATTAGTGTTGGTTGTGAGATGTATTGGAAATATTCTAAATCTCACATCGATTAGAGATAGAGTCTGAAAAATGTATTAATCTTCACTTTACAAACCAGTTTTGTAATTGAGTTAGATCCGCAAACTTAAATTCTAAACCAACAAGTCAAGAAAATATTCTCTGACAAATTCAGCCAGTTAGAATGACTGATTGTGATTATTGACAGGGAAATCTGCTTAAGTCTCTTGTAGCAGGGTATTTGTCATGATTAAAACCACTAAAGGTTTCAGCGGACAGCTCATGATAGGATTGGAACAAGTCAGACTTAGGCCCTAGTCCTGTGATCACAACAGTTGTTTTCAACAAGGCAAGAAAAAAATAATTATCATTGTATTAATCTATCAAAATCGTCATAAGTTCTTTTATTTTATGTAGCATAATGCTAATTACAAGGAACCAAAATCCCAACACAAGGTGAAGTTGGCTACGTAGATTACAGGACGCCACTGCACTCGGTTAAAGATCAAATCCTAAGAAACCATTTAACATTGTACTCAAGCCATACAGCGCTTTACATATTAGCATTAACATAACCTGTCATGAGTATCCATGTTTGGTATATCAAAGTGTTTGACGTTGATAGCTGAGCTACTAACACAACACTCTTCCTTTACCAGAACTTGGGACTGACTATGATATCATAGAACCAACTCTCATGATTTACAATGATAATATTAAGAAAAAAACTATATAAAGTCAAACTTATTAGAAACATAGCAGAGTGAGAAAAACACAGAGAAAGAGAGAGAGAGAGAGAGGAGAGTTTTTGTAATTGAAAGTGATAGGAACTATTACAAAGAGAACTGAATTACAGAGGACCTATTTAGAGACTACTGACTTAGCAGTCATTAACAACTAACTCAATTCTTTGCGAGATATAACTCATACATCTAACAACACAAATACAGGATGATAAACATAACAATAAAACTCACCTTCCGCATATTTCCTGGAGGGCGTAAAAACACCCTTTTTTGTTCGCTTGATGCAACTGTTGAATGCAGAGGAATAATCCATTCAGAAGATGGCCCACCAAATTGGCTAGATGCGACCAACTTATCATGTAAATAGTTTATTTCATAAATTCCCTGGAACGGCAAGTTATAAGGAAAATATAACCATTTGCACTGAAAAATAGAGGTAAACATAAAAACTCAAAGGATAACTTAGTAGTCTTACAGGTAGGAATACAAGGATGGCCCCCTCACCACCAGTTTCATCAATGAAACATATTAAATCTTCAACAAGATCATAATCAATGACATCTTCATTCAATCTTTTCTGAATGAAAAAATATTGAATGGTCAAATTAGAGTGCCAATGTAAAGTGCTATACAGATTAACAGCTTAAAAGGGATTTACCATATTTTGTTGAGTTTGTTCACTGTATAATTGATAACAACTTGGAATAAAGTATGGATTAATTTGTCCTTCAGAGAGCAGAGTTTCATCACCCCATGCCGATAAGAGTAGATTCTTCTTACCCCTGCTTTTTGTCACAACATCTCTCTGTAAAATCTAGATTGCAATGCTTCATAAATTAGATGAAGTAAAATCCGTAAAAGAATCTAATTCAGATGATGTATGCTCCAACATGTCAAAAGTATAAAGAATAAATAATAAAGAGAACAAATCACAGTGATGAACATCTAACAGTAACTAAATCTGATCATAGATTACCTGTCCTTTGGGAAATGTCCCATGTGTTAAAGATGCCGGAGAATCTGAGGTAAGTCGATACTCAATTTGATCATAAATATCCTCAAGAAAGTATGTTGTCACTGGATGACTCCTGCCCTTTGCCGTAACTACAGGGCAATTGCTGAAGTATCTTGAAAATAAACTTGAGTCAACAGTTGCAGACCTGACCATTATAGTTGCATTTTTGACGAATGAAGTTAGGCTCAAAGGAAATCAATATACGCAACTCTAGTCCACTAATTTTGTAACAAAATTAAACACAAAAATGCATACATTAGAATGATCTTCAGTTTTCTAGTGCCTTTCCTGGACTGCTTCTCAATTAGATTCTTTAGGACAATTAGAAGAAAATCACCCTGTAAACAATGAAAAGAAAAATATATGAAATAAATATGTTTTAAAAAATAAGATTAGAAACATAGAATACTGCAGAAACTGAGGATGAATAATACTTTACACACCACAACAAGTTCTAAAATCATCATCTCAACGGAGCTCTCAAATTTCACTATGGAAGAAAAAGTTGAAAATTGTACCATTGCCTTAATTTGCTTCTTTAATACCTTCTACTTACAGAGTTCATTGAGAGATGATAAATGATCTTCTTCGTGGTTGGGAGACTTATTATAAGGAGACAGCAGTGGATGAAGGATGGGACAGGTGAAACTAGTTGGATAGTGCTTAACTCTTGTAGTGAACAAGGACAGACCCATTGCACGTCAATGAAAGAAGAAGTTAAGGAAAGGTAAAGAGAGCTTCAATAAGGCCACATTGGTGGCACAACGGCATTCAGACAATGGAAAGACAGCAGGTGAACAATACACACTAAACATAGCACCTCACAGGATTAAAGGGTGAGGAAATGTGAGCTAGGTAATTGGATCCAAAACCACAAGGGTTGCATTGTGCTTGTTGAGCTGCACCTAACCCTGAGTTCTCCAGAAAACTTGGCCGGGGCGGACAGCTACAGAAACAATAGAGTATGATCATACTCACTCTAACACCAACTTGAGAGATTGAGAAGAAAACTAGAAGTTGATCTTTATAGCACTCGTATGTTTATTACATGTATAGTTGAATTGTGATTTGAAATTGATATGCCTTTGAAATAATGCTGATATGATATTGTTGAAAATTAAGAAAAGAAATCAGAATCACAGGATTTGATATATGTAAATCAAAGCAGATGCCGCCATTACCAAACTCATTGCTGATATGACACATGGTATTCAAAATCATCTTACAGAGAACTTCGCACGTCCAGTTAGACAAGGTATAAATAATGAGAATTATATTTAGTGTAAACATTACAAAAAGGTTTTATATTGATTCTACTCACCAACAAAGACCTCTCATGAACTTCATCAACTATGACATGAGTTATGCCAGACAAGCTTTGATCCCCCTGGAATATCAACAAGGAAAGAATAACTTGAAACTCAGTAAAATAAATAAATAAAATAAAATAAACTTAATAATGATTTAAATAAAGTATAATTACGTTTATGGGAATATGTCGCTAGCCCCAAGATAATGAGTTAATCCCTATAGTCCTTCATATAAGACACTTCTATAAGAATCACACAGACCCATAAAAGTAATTAATTCAACTCATTTTGATCATTTTTAAGAAATGTTACCAATGTATTAAATTTTCATAAAATCTCTTCTTATTATGCATTGAGAAAAAAAAAAAACATATTCATAATATTCATAATCAAGAAGTACTATCCTATCCTGGGTGGAGACAGACAATGCTTGATGAGATGGTAGCTTTAAAATCTAATACATGGATTGTTATTTCACCTCCACCAGAAAAGTCTACAATTGGTTGCTGATTCATGTTTACTATTAAGGAACTTTTGAGACAAGACAATTTCTGTTTCCAATCTGAAGTAAGGAATGTATATTTCGCATATTTGGTTTATTATTTAAAATATAACATTCTCAAGAAACCTATTTTTCCGAGAAATGGTTTTTACCTAGGTTTCCACAAAATTGTTCACATGGGAGTGGTGTGAATCTAACATTCCTGACTTGAAAAAAAAAAATGTTTTATTGTCATAAAAATATCATGTTACGCTAAATATATCATTTTGTGCGAATAAAAGATAAAGTTTATGGGAAGATTCTATTAAAACTAAACATGAAAATATTTTATTACCAAGAAACATATATAAATATTCCAAGAATATTTATGACCAACCATACAAATTTTAGTCATTCCTAGAAATCATTATTGTCAAAGAAGATACTCAAATTCATGGCTGGGTTTATGGTCATACTTTCTCCCCTGTTTCTGAGATGGCCTCTATTTGTTTGTTCATATCTAAGGCTGCCATGAGTGTTTCCCAAATAAAGTAGGTTACATAGGATCACATAATGTTACAATGTTTTATTAAAAACAGAATTAAAAAATAATAAATGATTAGAAAGAGAAAATATATCATTTGATGCAATGATGCATGTATCAAGTTGAAGACAGCAAGATGTATAGACCTGTTATACTATTTAACAAAAATACCTACCATCAATTTTCTTAAAAGGATGCCAGTTGTACAAAACAGAAGCCTCGTTGTCTCATTCCTAACATGAAAATAAACTGTCAATAAATTCACAATTCCAATTAAAACATGGAACAGAAAGAAAAACATTATTTTGGCCCCATGGGGCAAGGGTATGTGAAGGGTGAAGGGTGAAGAAAAGAAGAAGCATTAGCATTCGACTTCATAACACTTTCTTTTACATCTCTGAGTAACAATTTTCCATACAAAAGGTCCAAGGTACTGGATGGCGGATACTGATTCATATTGATAAATATCCCCAACTAGTATAACACCTATTAGCATAAAAATACTTAATAACTCGTCATTCAAAGTCCAAATTCAGAATGAATGAATAAAAGAAAACAATCAATTGAGTATAACCAAACTACTAGCTTATGATAACAACTAATGGTCCTTTTAGTTGAGTCTATAGAGTTATATCCATTCCACACACTAGTGAAAGAAATCACATCTTCTAGCACATGTTCTAAGAAAAATAAGGCACTTAAACCAGCTTCAACATCAAAACAGAATAACATGGACATATTTTATAGAAAACAACATCAGCTTTTCAACATCAACGCAGACAAAAACCAGACCTAGTCCAACCACAACTTCAATCACCTGAACCAGAGGCAAGGAGTCATACTATTAGGGTATAAGGGGAAGGAGAAGTTAGTAAGAAAGTTAGCATATTAATGAACTATTTAGTTGCTTGAGGTGTTATTTAGATATAAATAGGGTAAGAAGGATAGGAGAAGGGAGTTCATATTTTTTTGTAAATTGAGCATTAGCTCTTTGTCTAAAGAGAAATCCTTGGTGAAAGGGAAACCCTTGGAGGAGAGAATGTATGTTAGGTTTCTTGATAGAAGAAACTGGTTCAAAAACGTTTTCACTCACCGAAAACACCCCCACAAAATTGTATACTCTTCTTTTACTCATTTCTCAATAGTCATACAACAAGAACACTATCAAGGGGTGATGTTCCCCTTTTCACAGGACACTAATAATCCTGTCCATACTCTTAACATACAAAAACATATCCCCCCAACAACAAAAACCCACCTATATATAGTCTTCCTATCAGGAAGATTATAACCGCTTAACCACCTAACCAACCAACTAACTTTCTGTTTTCTTCCTTCTTACATATACATTTAATTTAATTTCCAAACAATGTCTCTCCTATTTCTTGTTCTTTTCATTCTATTAAAAAAAAAAAAGTTCTTCTGTTCAATTCTTGGTTCTTAATGGGGGAAACCCTTGGAGGAGAGAATGTCTCTCTTATTTCTTGTTCTTTTCATTCTATTTAATAAAAAATATTTCTTTTCTTTTTCAGTTCAATTCTTGGTTCCTAACAAATTGGTCCAACCAGCTAAATCTTTGAGCGAAAGCCAGTGATAGAGATGGAGGAAGCACAAATTTGAGCCATGCAGAAGCTACCAACATTTGTGGGGCCAGATCTAATTGGTTGGATTGCTAAGGCTGGAAAATTCATTGAGGTGCAAGAAATTGAATCATTTCATAAGCTGCAATGTGCTTTCATGAGCATGCCTTGGTTCTATTATTAGTGCCAAGATAACCCATAATTAGATTGGGAATCAATTTCAATACTTTTGATAAAAAGATTGAAATATATCTATAGTAGCCACATCTTTGAAAGATTACCTGCCATGAAACAAGAAGAACAAACTGAGATGGAAACTTGCAGCAAAGAAATGGAGACTTCCAAAGTGTTCTTGAAAGAGAGGATCAACATTTTAGTGTTGAAACACATGTTGCACAAGTTATTGAATGAAGAGGGTGACCCACATTTGATTGAGCAAGAAAAAAAATTAGCATGGAGGGAAGTAGGTCAAAATGCATTGCAGCAGAGACTAGTTCTTGGACAAGAAAGATGGAATTTCCATAATTGCTAGAAGCATAGAAGGAGAATTTGATTCAAAGAGTGGCAGTTTTGAGAGTAATGATGATCCATTTCTATTCTTGAAATCAGAAAATAGAAGTAAAGAAGAAGGCTCAGTAATCAAGTATCACACTCTTGATCGTGGAGAAGAAATTAAAAACTAAGAGAAATTAACAAGAGAAGCAAAGATTATGTTGAAGGAAGATGTTGCTACATTAATAAAGAGTGTGAAATCAATTTTTTGACAACCCAATTGTGATATAAGGTAACTGCTTGTAGGAAGCAGTGCCTTTAGAAAGCAGTGTGGAAGCGGTCATAATTATAACAACTATATATAGGGATTGTTTTTGTAAATAAAGAGGTAACCACATATTCTACATTCTTACCTCGATAATATTGTGGTAACCCGAAGTGGGGTTCCCTTTTTCTGTACGTCTTCATGTTGAGTGAACACCTAGCATTCTTTCTCATCTCTCCTAGTTTTTTTCTTATCAAATTGTTGAGTTACTCAAAAAGGAAGTTGAAGGTCAAGATAACCAAACAACATTTTTTCCAAATTCAGATTTCCATATTAATAATCAGAACCCAAATTTTATAATGAAGGTGGTTGGCACATCAATGGTATTAGAATCTTGGAAGTTTAATTTGTTAGGTAAGCCTTTAACATTAAACATCATTTCCTCTGGAGATCACAACCTGGCTATGGAGTCAATGCATAAGGAAGGTTTAGCAGTTGTTATACTAAATCCACCCTCATCCCCACCACCACCCAAGTCACCAGACCTGAATTTGAATGTAGTAGCCACTACTTCTCATTCTTGTAGCAGAAAAGCATCACATGCTTCCAGGAAGGGAAAATGAAGATCATGGTAATGAGGATCAATTATGGGGTCAAGCTTCCACTATTGCAACCTTGAGGACAAGGTTGATTTTTAAGTGGGGTGTATTGTTAGGGTATAAGGGGAAGGAGAAGTTAGTAAAATATTTAGCATATTAACGAGTTAGTTAGATTCTTGAGGTGTTATTTAGATATAAATAGGGTAAGAAGGATAGGTGAAGGGAGTTCATATATTTGTAAATTGAGCATTAGCTCTTTGTGAAAAGAGAAATCCTTTATGAAGGGGAAACCTTAGAGGAGAGTGCTCTTCTATTTTATGTTATTTTCATTCTGTTCAATTATTTCTTTTCTTTTTTTGTTCAATTCAGGGTTCCTAACAAATAAAGAATCCACAATTGTTCTTGATATACCCATTACCCTAAGAAAAGATAAAAGATCTGAGTATCAAGTATCCTAGATCCCAACGTGTCTACAAAGCAACTTTTTATGCAGTAGTGGAGTTTCATTACATCTATCAACATCAGTACAAGCAGTCGCAAAGGATGAAAATTGGATTTAAGCAATGACTGAATAGAAGAATACATTAAAAAGGAATGAGACTTGGGACAAGATAGAAATACCATAAGATAATCGGTCAATCGTACATTGGACCAATATAAACCAAAAGTGTTTGCAAAAGGATACACCCCTAACCAACAAGGTAGATAATAAGGAGAATATTGCATTTGCCGCAAATGAAAATAGTAAGGATCGTCTCCACCTTTGAACCACATTTTGATAGGAAGATGCATCAATTTATTGTTAAAAAAGCTTTCTTGCATAGAAAATTAAAGGAGGTAGTGTTAGGAACCAATATCTAAAATACGATAGAAAAGAAAGATTTATATTGAATAAGATGACAAGAACAAAGAATAAAAGAGTAGGAGATTTGTAGGATCAGGTTAAGAGGAATAAAATTAAATCAGATCAGATCTATTTATTAGAAATATATTTGTTATATATTGATTCCTTATTTGTAGTAGATTTATTTTCCTTATCTGTAGCAGATTTGATCTGCCTGAATACAAGTTGCACCCAATGTTATTTGTATCAATTCAACAAGAGAATATTTTTCTACATGGTATCAGAGATTTAGTGCTCAATCTGGAGCTGTAAGCCTGTCTACCCTAGCATATTCTAGTCTAGTCATCAATAATATGAGTAGCGGTTTGTTGTCCTTGGGAGGAGGTAGTTCCCAACCTGCACCAATAGTCATATTGCCAAATGAAAACTTAAATGAAAAAAAAAAAAAAAAAATCTTAAGTGTCCAAGTCTATGCTTTTGGGGATTGAATGCAAGGGGAAAATTCGATATCTAGTTGGGGAATTGACAGCCCTAGCCATCACTGATTCAAACCACTAGTAATGGCTTCATGAAAATTCAATGGTTACAACATGACTAACCAATTCTATGATTGGTAAGCTTTTCATGCTTTAACCAACACCATGTGATGTATGGGAAGCAATGAAAGAGACATATTCAGACCTACATAATCACTCACAATTGTTTGAAGTCTTTGGCTATTACAATAAAATGGTGACAATGTAGCAAGAGATGGATGTTTTTGAAGAAAGAAGGGGTATTCTGTAAGAAACAAGATGGAAAGTGGGTGAATATTATTTGTCTTCATAGCAGGGCTTAACAAAGAACATGATTAAGTCTGAGGTTGTATCTAGGGAAGCAAGCCTCTTCAACCATCTACTAGACAAGTGATGTTGAAGAGTACTCTTGAAGGATCATCACTTGTTACAGATATTTCTCGTTTTTTTTAATAGATTAGTAATTCTCTTATACTTATATATATATATATATGTGTGTGTGTGTGTGTGTGTGTGTGTGTGTGTTTGTAACAAAGCATTAATAACTACTATAGATTGTATTTTGTCTATTGGTATCAGTATATCTTTCTTTTCAAATGGTATCAAGAGCATAGTAATCCATGGCTTCAAAAACATTCCACCACTTGCAAACCAACTGCAGCAACTGACAGTGGATCTGTCATATCTCAAAGAACTCTAGTCTCACTTTATCATCATATTTCAAAGAAACTTGAAGACAATAATTTCTTGTAATGGTGTCAACTAGTTGAAGCTTTTATCAAAATACATAGGGTGCATCATGTTGTTGAGGCTCCAAAACCTCCTTCCCATTTTATTTCTAATTAAGATCGTGATCACGTCAATCTAGATTGTCTTGTTCAAGAACAATTAGACCAAATGCTGTTGGCTTGGTTATAATCATCTCTTTCTAGTGTAATTCTTGTTCGTGTTCTTGGTTTTACCAACTCTTGTGAAATTTGGGAAGGGAGATATTTGTTCTTATTTTCGACATCAAACTCGGACGAATGTTAGAGACACTAAAGGGCTGAGTTGCGTAATTCTTCACTTGATAATCATCTAGTTGTTGAATTTCTTCCTCAAAATAAAACTTTTGTTAATTCTCTTGCATTTGCAGGTGATCAAGTTTCTTTAAAAAGAACATCTTGATTCAATTCTTGAAGATTTATGTCAAGAATATGATTTTGTTATTGCATTAACTAAGAGTAGAACTAAAAATATTACAATTGAAGAAGTTGAAGGTCTTCTTGCTCTGAATTGCACCAACAAAGATATAAGACCAAAACTTATTCAAATTCAACATGTTATCCATCAATAAATATTGCTCAAATACCTATGCAATCTCATTCTTTCTCCAACAATTGTCAAATTCAACTTGACTTCAATGATACAAATTTGCAAAACACTAAATTTTGTGCCTTCTTTCGAGGAAGAAGTTGTCATCCTAATTGTGGAAGAGGACAAAGTGGTCATAGCTTCCCTTAATGCCAAATTTCCTTCAAGATTGGTCATACAAGTCTCACTTCCTACAATCGCTTCAATCCTTAATTAGCACTTATAACTCGAGATGAAGAATTGGAAGTGGATAGGTGAGGAAGAAAGAAAAAACCTTGGTGCAACTACTACAAATGCCCATGACACATAAAAAACATGTTGGAAACTGCAAGGAAAACCACCTTTCAAGAAGAAACCAAGGGGAGGCATTCATCCATTCTAAGCAAGCAGTACTGATCCAATGCAATCTTCTTCAAAATCCCTTCCCTTCACAAAGGAACAAATACAACACTTATCTAAACTCTTCCATTCTCATTCTGTAGGAAATTCTTCCATCTTGTTTTATAGCCCAAACAAGTAAACATTTTAATGTCGCTATTTCGTTTAAGAGGTCCAACAAAATTTGGATATTAGATTCAAGTACCATTGATCACATGACCATCATTTTACAGTTTTTCTCCTCATATACACTTTGAGCAGGAAATCAAAAGGTTGGACTTGTCAATGGTTCCCTACCTAGAATAACTGGAAAAGGAGTTGCAGTACTTTCTCCTACTTTAACCCTTAAAGATGTCCTACATGTCCCTAATTTGTCAAACAATCTTATTTATGTTAGTCAACTAACCCTTGACCATAATTGTTGAAATGTCTGGTCTACACATTGTGAATTTTAGGATTTGTCTTTAGGGAAAATTATTGGCGTAAGATCATAGAGGGGCATGGTAGTCTCTCAATGGAAGTACATCTTAGATCTCTTGAAAGTAACTAAATTGTCAGGTTGCAGGCCTTCTAGCACTCCTATATAACTCAAAACTAAATCTAAACTTAGAGATGTTAAAGATGTTGCTCCAATAGACACATACAAATACCAAAGACTAATTGGGAAATTTATCTACTTATATCATGCATGCCCAAACATTGTTTTCGCTATTAGCATGGTGAGCCAATTTAGCATTCCCCATAAGAAGAGCACCAAGATGTTGTGTACAAAATTCTTAGGTACCTCAAAAGCACATCTGGGAAAGGTTTATTCTTTGGAAACATGAGCAGAAAGGGATTGAGGTATATATTGTTGCTGATTGGACAGGTTCTATAACTGATAGAAGGTCAACCACAGGGTATTTCACATTTATATGGGGGTAATCTTGCCACATGGAGATGCAAGAAACAAAATGTTGGTGGGAGGATGGTAATAAAGTTGAGTTCACATCAATGGCTCAAAGTGTATGTGAAGTGAAGTCTTATAGCTGAAACATATTCTAGAGGAGCTTGGAAGACCAATAATAGCTCTCCCTAGGCAGTTGTTTTCTGATAATAAGACTGTTGTTATAAGTGTTGCTCATAATCCAGGCTTACATGACTGAACGAAGCATGTTGATATCAAGAAGAAGCTTGAAGATGGAGTAATTTGCATTCCTTTTGTCCAAACCAATCAGCAAATTGCTGAAAATTTAACAAAGGATCTACTGAGACAGCCTTTTTGAAAATCAAGTCCCAAGTTGGGCATGATTGATCTTGGTACCAACTTGAGGGGGAGAGTGGATTAATTACGAAAATAAGGATTTTATGATAAAAAAAAGATTATGAAGATATGGAAAAATTAGGAATCTTATATTTGTCCACATTTGTAGGAACAAGTTAAGGAGAATAAATCTGAATCAGATCAGATTAATTTTTTTAGAAATATCTCGGTATTTTTTTTCCTTATTTGTAGGAGATTTGCTTTTAGTTAATGGGTGATTTATTTTCCTTATTTGTAGAAAATTTGATTTGCATAATAAATAAAGTTGTAACTTGTATCCTCTATCATTGGTATGTATTAAAACATTTTTAAACTGGGAGAAAATGGTTTCCTCTTCACAAAGGATTTCTTCTTTCAAAAAAGACAATGCTCAATTTACAAAACAACAAATCTGAAAATCTCAAGCATCCTTCATTCCCTATTTATATCTAACTAACTCATTAATATTCTAACAATCTTAACTAACTTCTCCTTCTCCTTATGAAAATAAGATACCAGGTTGAAACACAAGATATGGTCAAATCTGAACAAAGACATTGTTCAATCTAAATTAGTATTTGACAAGTAATACACCGATGAGCAAAAAAAAACTTGAATCCTTGTCTAACAGTAACATAAAGTTTTGTCTATAGTTAAACAAAGATGTGTTACATGCTCTAACAAAACATCAAGAGAAGCATATTAAATAATATAAAACATATACATGTTTTAACTTCCATAGGGAGTTTTGGAAAAACCAATAGATATGAACTTGTTCACCATTACCCTCATGTTCTCAATGTTACCACACACAACATAAAAATGATTAACCATTCTTTTCACCCAAGAGTGCTGTTTTGTAGTCATTGTTTAATCAATTTTTATTTATTTATTGACTTTATACATTGAAAAGTGCGAGGACAAGGATGGGAATTAAAATTATTATCCATGCAAACATGGTAACAGGTCCAGGAATGGGTACCATAGTACTCTACCCATTTTCATCCCTTATAATAACTACCTACCCCTACCTCATTCTTCCACATTTATTCTTCTACTCCTATTTTTAATTTTTTTAATTAAATAAATTTAATTTTGTTTTAAAGTTAGAATGCCAACCAAACATGTTCACGGGAATAATATACTCCAGCATAATATTAAGAGAATGTGATTCTTGCCAATACAATAGTCTACCTTGAAATAACCATCCCCTAAGGTATATTAAAAAGGCACAAGGACAACGGGTTATCAATAAAGACAAAGAAACACTCAAATTGTTGGATACTGTTATGCAACTTGGACAAGCCCACCTATTGGCAAACTTTGTACTTCAGGGTATTTGTGTTTCAATTGGAGACAATATTGCCTCCTGGAAGAGGAAAAAGAAAAATTTTAAATGGTGCAGAAGCAAAATATGGGGGTTATGTCTACCCCTACTTGTGAACTCATTTTGATTCAACATCTTCAAAAATTGATGTTTGGAGACAATCAGTAGATGAAATTATGTAGTGTCAGTCAAGCAAAGATATTCATAAAGCCACCAATCAGATGTTTCATGGAAGAACTAAGTATATTGAAATGAATTGTCATTTCGTTTGGGAAAAGGTTCTTCCCAAAGAAATCATAGAATTTGTTAGTTCTAATGACTAACTAGCAAACATCTTCACAAAGTCTCTAAAGGGGTTTAGAATTCAATTATATATTCCAGGCTTGGACCATTTGATTTATATGCTCCACCTTGGGGATTACTCAGTATTGGGATTTTAGAAATTATATTTAGATTCATGTACCTGAAGAATATATGTAATTATTAATTCCCTTGTTAATCTCAATTGTATTTGTTGAATATAGGAAAAAACTGTATAGGGTTAATTTCCCTTACGTATTTACCACACATAGGGCAGTGTATTTATAATAAAGAAAGGTACTCCTCAAAAGAGTAACAGAATACAAATAGGGTAAATAAAAAGATATTATTTGATATTGTGATTAACAATATCTAACAATATCAAATAATATCAACTAATATCTAATCATATCTAACACTCCCCCTCAAGCTGGAGCATACAAATCGTATGTGCCTAGCTTGGTACAAAGATAATCCATCCTAGGTCCCCAGTAAAGACTTAGTGAAAATATCTGCTAATTGATCACATGAGTTAACGAACTCGGTCTTGATGTCTCCGGACATAATCTTTTCTCGAATAAAATGGCGAGTCAATCTCAATGTGTTTAGTCCTCTCATGAAAGACGAGGATTAGAGCTTATATGGAGAGCGGCTGATTGTCACACACTAGTGTCATTTGAGTGACATCTCCAAATTGTAGCTCTTTAAGCAATTGCTTGAGCCAAATAAGTTCACAGGTAGCTGAGACCATAGCTCTATACTCGCTCTGCACCTTGGATCTTGCCACAACACTTTGTTTCTTACTTTTCCATGAGATCAAGTTACCACCAATGGAAACACAATACCCGAGATGTAGATCTTCTATCGAGAGGAGATCCGCCCAATCGACATCCGAATAGCGAGACAACTCTTGTATGATTATGGGAGTCATACACCAAACCTTTTCCAGGAGACTTTTTGATGTACTTCAATATACGGATGATTGCATTCCAATGATCTTGACAAGGAGAATTGAGGAATTGACTCACCACACTCGACTGCAAAGGAAATGTCGGGCGAGTAAGCGTAAGATAATTTAATTTTCCAACTAATCTTCTATACTTGTTCGAGGATCGACATTGGCTCTCCCCGATTTGGCAAGAGTTTGGTATTAGGATCCATGGGTGTGTCAACAGGCTTTGAATTCATCAACCCAGTTTCCTCCAAAATATCCAATGCATACTTTCTTTGAGATATAACAATGCCATCGGTAGATTGTGCTACCTCAATACCCAAGAAATATCCGAGTTTGCCAAGATCTTTGGTTTGAAAATGGTGGCAAAGGTGTTGTTTCATCCGAGAGATGCCATGATGGTCACTACACTGTAAGAACAATGTCATCGACATACACTATCAAATAGATACATCCGACATTCGAGTGACGGTAAAAGATCGAGTGGTCCGCCTCACTTCTAGTCATGCCAAATTGTTGAACAACGCTGCTAAATTTTCCAAACCAGGCCCTAGGAGATTGTTTTAGGCCATATAAAGATTTGCGAAGACGACATACCAATCCGGAAGACTCCCCCTGAGCAACAAATCCGGGAGGTTGCTCCATATAAATCTCTTCTTGCAAATCGCCATTCAAGAAAGCATTTTTGACATCCGAGTTGATAAAGAGGCCATTGTTGAATAGCGGCCATGGCAATGAATAAACGAGCAGAAGCCATCTTTGCCACTTGGAGAGAAAGTATCACCATAATCCAACCCAAAAATTTGGGTATAGCCTTTGGCTACAAGGCGAGCTTTGAGGCGATCAATAGTACCATCAGGACCAACCTTGATAGCGAAGACCCACCTGCAACCAACAACAGATTTTCCAGATGGTAATGGGACAAGCGTCCAGGTTCCACTAGTCCGAAGAGCACAGAGTTCATCTAGCATGGCCTGACGCCAACCAGGGTGGGCTAAGGCTTCGAGAGACGATTTAGGAATAGACACGGAAGAAATAGACGAGAGACAGGTATAAAATGGTGAAGAAATTCGATGATAACTTAAAGCGAGTATAATGTGGAGAAGGATTACGAGTAGAACGCGTACCTTTACGAAGGGCAATAGGAAGGTCGGACTACGTGGACGGAGCCGGAGGAGGCGAGTATTTGGCACTGGGAGTGAGTCATGTGGCGTCTGTTGTGGGCGAGGTCTGCGACTATAAACCCGAAGGGGTGGTGGAGGAGGAGGGGCTAATGGTGGATGGTCCTCAACATAAGGATCAATGAGAACAGGGAATGAGAACTGTAGCGAGATGGAGACTCAGCAGGTAGGGAAGGGTCCTTAAAGTAAAAGGAAAACTCATTGAAGGTGACATCGGCGAGACACAAAATAGCGATTAAGAGAAGGAGAAAAACACTTGTATCCTTTTTGGGATCGAGTAAATCCTAAGAAAACACATTTGTGTGATCGAGGAGATAACTTATCATGACCAGGATCAAAATTGTGGACAAAACAGGTAGACCCAAAAACCTTCGAGAGGTAAAGGATGGAGAGTGTCATGAGGAAATAAAATAGAATGGGGAATTTTGTTATCTAAAACCGAAGAGGGCATACGATTAATAAGATAACGAGCGGTAAGAACGACATCACCCCAAAAATGTTGAGGAACCTCACCATGAATTAAAAGAGTACGGGTTGTTTCAATAAGGTGTCTATTCTTGCGCTTAGCCACCCCATTTTGTTAAGGGGTATAAGCACAGGAAGTTTGATGAAGAATGCCATGAGAAGCCATCAATTGTTTAAACGAGTTTGAAAGATATTCACGGCCATTATCACTTCGAAAAGTTTGAATAGAGACACCAAATTGATTTTTAATTTCATGATAAAAGTTTTGGAATATAGAAAACAACTCGGAACGATTTTTCATTAAAAATAACCAAGTACAACGAGAGAAATCATCAATAAAAGTAACAAAATATTGAAAACCTAAATTAGACTTAACACGACTGGGTCCCCAAATGTTAGAGTGAACTAAGGCAAAGGGGGATGAAGCACGTCGGGAAACACTACGAGAAAAGGAAGTACGACTATGTTTGCCTAACTGACGGGACTCACATACCAAATTGGACAAGCTGGGATAAGCCGGGAACAAGTTGCTTGTAATTTGCGCAGACTGGGGTGACCAAGTCGAGCATGAAGGAGAGAAGGAGACTCCATAAGCTGTGCCAACATGTGGAGAAGGTTGAAGATAATAAAGTCCATGTGACTCACATCCGGTGCCAATCACTCTTTGCGAGCTCCGGTCCTGTAGGGAAACAGAAGTTTTGGTAAAAGAGATAACACAATCAAGAGATCGAGTTAGACGGCTAATGGATAATAAGTTAAAGGGGGACCCGGGTACATACAAACCATTATCAATGGACAACGAGGGAAAAAGAGTAACCGTTCCAACACCATGAGCTAAAGTTGTAGACCCATTAGCCATTGTAACGAGAGGGTAAATTATGAGAAGAAGTGAAAGAGGAAAATAAGGATTTGTTACCGAGTGATGTGATCGGTGGCGCCTGAGTCAAGAACCCAAGGGCCAATAGAAGAAGAGTGAGTCGGACCAGGTAAAAGATGTACTGTGTGGGCAACGAAGTAGTGGAACCTGGAGGGCTTTCGATCCTCATACCATTGAAGAAAATCATTGAAGATAGCAGATTTGTCCGAAGGTACAGACGAAGGAGGATCCACGACAGAGGATTGTGCGGAAGAATCGATCCGAGCAACGGAGCCGATAGAGGTAACTTCGAGTTGGAAGTGGCAGCGGAAGATGCCATGGAGGAAGAGAGAGAAAAACCCTAAAACACCAAAGAGGTCCGATTGGAGCAGCGAGGACAGATCCGAGAGAGAGGAGAAGGAGGCGACGCCGGCGCAAAGATTGGCGGCCCGAACGGCGGCGAGACGCGCCGCCACGCGCGGCGGAACGGGAGAAGGTGGCGCGGCTTCGGGAGGCGCGTGAGGGAGCGTGGCCGCTCCGATGACCGCGAAACTTCCACGGTGGAGGTCGCACGGAGGAGGCGAGCAAAACCCCGTGCTCGGCGGTCCGAACCGCTACTCGGCGACGGCGGTGGCGGCGGCGGACGGCGGTGGCGACGGCGGCGATGGAGGCGGCGACAGTGCGAGGTTCGATGGCGGAGCCGAAAAATATCCCAAGAGACCTTAAGCTCTTGATACCATGTTGAATATAGGGAAAAAGCTGTATAGGGTTAATTTCCCTTATGTATTTACCACACATAGGGCGGTGTATTTATAATAAAGAAAGGTACTCCTCAAAAGAGTAACAGAATACAAATAGGGTAAATAAAAAGATATTATTTGATATTGTGATTAACAATATCTAACAATATCAAATAATATCAACTAATATCTAATCATATCTAACAGTATTTATTCATAAGAATATATGTAGAGAAGATTAATTCTTTGCACTCATGCACATTCCATCAAAACTGAACTCTTCAAGTGACAAATGAATACCTGGCACTGTCAAGACGAACTTGATAACCAATCAAAGAACCATCTGAACCTGGTGAAGGTTCACACCGCTCATCAGCAACCCTTTCAGCCACTGAAATTGCCTAAAACGCCGAGGTATAAAACATAAACACAGGTAATAAGAATGCAGAAAATCATTCATTAAATTTGGGAGTATTAAAAAATATTCTACAGTATCCAACCAATCCAAGATTATTTCAAGTTTTGCTACAATTTGACACCTTCATCCTACAAGTGTACCTCAGTAAGAAAATTCAAAAATGCAGTATTCTTTGTCACACTTAATGACAAGGAAAAGCTTGCCCTCAGATGCATGTAGGCCAGGAACCAAAAACAAGAAAGTAATTGACAAATAACTAGTCCATTAAAAATATGGGACAGCGAAGGTTAAACCAAATGCAGCTGAAAACAGTTGTATATAAATAGACCAATATAGCATAATATTTTTTACCTACCGCTATTCTCCGTGGTTGTGTGCAAATAATATTACAGTATCCACCATGTCCTGACTCAATCATGTCATCCAATATAAATTGTGGAACCTACATTAAATGATAGTGAGAAAAGAAACCATACATGCTCGGACAGAAAATAAAAATGTCAGAAAACAAAAAGTTATGAAAATATAGGTGGCAAAATATCACAAATTATAGTTCAACTGTGTTACCTGAGTCGTTTTTCCTGAGCCTGTTTCTCCACAAACAACAAGAACATCATGTTCCTTCATCAATTGCAATATATCACCCTTAAGAGCTGCAATAGGAAGTGTAGCTCTGATATTCAGCATATCCTGGAGCAGATAAAGTGTCTAGCTCAGAATTGATTAATTTTCTTTTTCCCTAAAGAATAAATCAATTGTACTGAATCTTATGACATTTGCTGGCTACGATTTATCTGTATTTTGCAAGATATTATATATTTATATATAGAACCTTTTATAAGCTTCCATGTCATATCCTAAGTTTCAAGTATTTGATTCTTGAAACTGCACCAATCCTTGTGAACCCCATTCTCCATATTATGTTGGACTTTTCCACAAGGAAACTTTGAACAATATTTGCTACACACAATTGCATGATGGGATGGGAAGAGAAATAAAATCAATTGATGAGTTTCCCATCTCAGATTAGGAAGAACCTATTGCTTTTGATAAATTCCATCAAATTAACTTTTAAAAAGATGTGGTCAAGATAAGAAGATGAAAAATACGTCACAATCAAGATTGATTCATAAGTCGAGGAACATTTCATCTCTTCGAAATTGAAATTCAAATATAAGAATAAAAAATTCTCCAAAAGAACCTTGGTTGACTTGATCCAAGAATCAAAACTATACTTCTTGAACTTTGATCACCACTTCAAGTGCCAGTTGAAATCCTCGACAAGATAAGCAAAAAATAAAAGTATGGCTTGCCACTTGAGATAAGAACACACACATAAATGAAGAAGCTTGAACTTTAATAACCACTCAATGCACCACTCGGAATCCTCTACAAGATAAGCAAAAAATGGGGTATGGCTAACCACTTGGAATCTTCACATCATAAGAACACACATAAATTGTGAACAATCACACTTTTCTAAAAGCTCTCAAGCTATTTTATTCACATTAGAGTAATGGAAATGAATACATAGACTCTCCTTTCACATAAGGAAGAAGATAGATAAGAAAGTGTTTGCCAAACAAGGTTGTTCCCATGCCTTACACCCCACACTAGGCTTAAGAAATCAAACAACCTAAATAAGTCAATCCTAAACGTGTTTAATATTCCTATCCAAACAAGGTTATTAGATGAAACTATTTTATATTTCTCTAAATTCTTTGAGAACATCATTATGTACTTAAAGCATGATGTTATCACCAATCTTGTGCCTTTAACTAATAGCTTAAATTTTGGGAGATTTTATTCTCATTTAAGTATAGTATATACTAATAAGCAATCAAGACTTCACTCAATCACACTCCACCTTGTAGAATCGCAGTCTACATTTTTGTCATGCCTAAGCGAGTTCGACCTTGCGCAAAATCACTAATGAGAAGCATAAGTAGATTCATAGTGTAAAATCATAAAAATAGTGGAAACAAAGATATTTTTTATTTTACCTAGACTACATTTTTGTGTGCTAACTTTCAACCGTGGATCAAGTTTCTTTTTTTTTTTTTACCTTTTCATTTTGGGCTTTTGATCTTAGAGAAACGGAACAGCGAAAATTGAAAAAGCATTAAACATGAACTGAATATTTTTATTATTGTATCACACTTAGAACCATGGGTACAAGATGTATTTATAAATGTAATTTTCTACTAGTTGTTATAAGAACTGACGGTAGTACAAGTAGTAAAACAATTTACAAGTAAAACTACAATTGTACAAAGAAAATAAGTTGTACAATACATTTGTAAACTATACAAGTTAACTATATTGGGTATACTAACAAACCCCCCTCAAACTCGAGGGGAAGATTTTTTAGAAGAAAAACTCTTCACATTGAGTTTGGCTACGAAAAAATACAAAGTGAGTTGAAGACATAGACTTGGTTAAAACATCAGTCCATTGATCAAGAGCTGGAATATGAGAAATGTACAGTTGCTTGGCCAAAATCTTTTCTCAGAAAACATCAATCTCCATTTGTGATTATGAAAAATTGGATTTTCAGCAATGGAAACAACACTTTGATTATCATATAGAAGAGTTGAAATGTCGGAAGAAACTTAAAGTTCAGTAGGTAACTTGGATATCCAAGATAGCTCAGCAGAAGTTTGCGCTAAACTCCTATATTCAGCTACAATACTGGAACGAGCAATAACTAGTTGCTTTCGAGACCACCATGATATTAAATTAGGACCAAGAGAAATTGTTGCACCTGAAGTAGATCTTCTATCATAAATATCATATGTGTAGTCAGCATCACAGAAAGATTTCAAAGAAATTGGACTATGTAGTGATGCTGGCTAAAATTGTAAATCATGAAGCAATGTTCCTTTTAGATATCTTAAAATACATTTAGCCACAGTCCAGTGAGAATCAAGTGGTTTGGCCATAAAATGACAAACTTTGTTGACAGCAAGACTAATTTCTGGCCTGGTAAGAGTGGCATACTGTAATGCACCAAGCACTGATCTGTATAAGTAGGATTTGAGAAGAGATCAACACCATGTTTAGATAACTTGCAGTTGGAGACCATAGGAGAAAAGATGGAATGAGCTTCAGCCATATGAATTTATGAAGTCTCATATATACTTTGTCTGAGTCATAAGGACAGACTGATCAGGTAAATGTTTGATCTCAAGTCCAAGAAAATAATCCAGTTTACCAAGCTATTTTAAAGAAAATGTTGCATGAAGTTTGGTTGTGATATTCTAAATTGAACTAATAGAACTTTCGGTTATGATGATATCATTAACATAAACCAAGAAATAAATAACCTCTGATTCCTTTTTGTAGATGAACAAAGAAGTATCACAAGTATCACTAACAAATCCAAATTGATGAAGAGTAGTCTGTAAACAAATAAACCACTACCTTAGAACTTGTTTTAACCTATAAAGAGCTTTATTCAACTTCCAAACAAGGGATTTATAAGCCATTTCAAAACAAGAAGGTTGTTGTATATACACTGTTTCTTCCAGAAAACCATTCAAAAAAGCATTATTAACATCAAGCTGAAATAATTTCCATCCATAAGAAATTCGAATTGTAACATGTTTGACCACTGGAGAAAAGGTTTTATAAAAAACAAAACCATGAAGCTGATGAAAACTTTTGTTACTAGACGAGCTTTATAATTATTGATGAGCCATCTGCATTTTTCTTGACTCTAAAAACCCATTTGCAACCTACAACTTTTCTGTTTAAGAGCAAAGATACGAGATCCCAAGTCTTTTGGTTCATTAAAGCCTCCTATTCTTGCTGCATTGCAGCCTGCCAATTTTTATCTTTAAGAACCTGTTTAACACCAGTAAGTTCAAAATGGGATAACAACAAGGATGGATTAACTCTATTGAAAAATGTCAAATTTAGACCTTGTTTGCATAGGATCAGTATTAACGAAAACTCCATGGAGAAAAACTATATTTGTCCCCTTAAATTTAACTAGACATTTATCAAAATGAAACTCAGAAAATAGAATTATCCTTTGCAAACTGACTAAAACTTAACAAACATTTTGTAATAGAGGGAACATGCAACAAATTTTTCAACTGAAACAAGACTCTGGAATCATAAGATGATACAAAAGAAGCGAACCAACACCATAGATATTCAAACCTGCACCATTTCCAATGAATATCTAATATCGACCTTCAAACTGTTGAAGTTGTTTTATATTTAGAGGTTCACAGTGACATGAAAACTAGCACCAGAATGTAGTATCCAGGAAGTATTGGCATTTACCTTAAGTGTCAAAATTCATCAACATAGCACTAGGTTGATTACTGTTATTAGACATATTGTTCGGAATCACCCAAGTGTTTGAAGTCTTGTATGAACCAGCTGAATAGGGAATAGTCTGCTGGGTAGCTGGATCAATAAAAAACAATGATTCATGTGGCTGGTAAGAGACATCAGATCTGAAATGGCAGGCATTGGCTGTATGACCAAGTTTTAGACAAACTTGTCACCATGTCCTTGTTACGAATCAGATAACTTGACAAACAGTATTATCGGAAAAAGGTAAAATATAAAAGAAATACGGGATGATTTTGATAATTTGACCAGAAAACAAGAATAACTATGCATCAAGAGAAATAACCTCCGGATACCCCAGAGCACTGCTCAGTATTACAAAGAGATATTCTCTCTCCATATCCGTAAAATCAAAAATATCCACTGCCCTCATAGAAACAAACCTATTATATAATTAATTATTTTCTCTCCCTTCTAACTAACTTCCACCTCAGCATATCTATTTTCTTTTTTCTATTTTCTTCTCCCTTCTCTTGTAAACCAACCATGTCTTGGGCTTGCTGGCAGCTTCATGGATCAATAATTCTTCTGGCCCATTAATTTTCTCCTGATCCCCATCATTGCCACTCTCTTGAAAATTGATCTTGTCCTCAAGATGGAGATGAGGGAACTGATTTTTCATCATAATGGCATCCTCCCATGTAGCTTCCTCGGCTGGCTTTGCTGCCCATTGCACCAACACTTGTTTCACTATCTCTCCGTGTTTTACGAATTCTCTTCTGGCTAAAATGGAAGTAGGATTCCACAACTCTGCATCCTCTTCTCCCAACTCAGTAGGTAGTTCCGGTTGAGTCTGGTAGTTGCCAATTGCTTTCTTCAGCAATGATACGTGAAAAACTGGGTGTATTCTTGAAGTAGATGGTAAGTTCAAACGATAAGTCACCTCACCAACTTTGCTCAACACCTCAAAAGGACCGTAGTACCTTGCTGCAAGTTTGGTATTAACCCTGGGAGAAACCAAATTTTGTCTATGAGGGCGTAATTTCAGAAAAACCCATTCACCTACTTCAAATTTCCTCTCTTGTCTTTTGAGGTCCGCTTGGTTCTTCATTCTGACTCGAGCCCTTGTAAGATGCTCCTTTAGTTGCCTTAAAATTTCATCTCTATCCTCCAACTCTTGTTTAACCGCTTCTACCCTTATTTCTCCTTGGATCCCTCTTACTAAAGGTGGAGGTTTCCTCCCATACACTCGCCTCGAAAGGAGTCATTTGAGTGGACTCATGGTAGGATGTATTATACCAGTACTCAGCCCACGGGAGCCAAACCACCCATTGTTTGGGTTGATCGGTGATAAAACACCTCAAATATGTCTCTAAGCTCCTATTCACCACCTCCGTTTGACCATCCGATTGTGGATGATAAGCAGTACTCATATTAAGGGTTGTGCCTTGTAGTTTGAAAAACTCTTTCCAAAATTGACTTATGAAAATGGGGTCTCTGTCGTCGACTATGGAATTTGGGATCCCATGCAACCTCACTATTTCTTTCACAAATGTTTCAGCCAACATTCCGGTCGTGTAGGGATGCTTAAGTGGAACAAAATGGACATACTTTGTTAGCCTATCTACCACTACCGAATTGCTTCATATCCCTTAGATTTAGGCGGACCCG